TGAAGGAGTAACTTCATCTTCGGCGGGTTTTGTGTATGCAGCAGTATGTGGGGCTCGACAGGCACAAGTAATACTTTTGTACATGAGTAGGACTGCGTAAAATTCGATTGGGGATGTATTCTCAGTTTTGACAGATGCTGGAGAGACTGAGTTATGATAACTATAATCGAAGACTTTTCACATAAAATCATCACTGCAACCCGTCAGTAATTGTTTCATGGAAGAAAGATTGACATGAACTTACTCTCCGAAATCATCATCATAGGCCTGGGTATCTTTGCTCATAGTGTCCCTGCTTGCATTCAAGGTAGTCTTAGTTTTTTGTGCTTTAGACTTCTTTCCTCCCTTTTCAGCTGCCTTCTCCTCTCTCATTTTCTCGTTACTCAAAGCCGTCAGTGTACTGGCAATCTTCTTGATTTGATCACTTGGAAGATCTTTGGAGATCTGCTTAGTGAACTCTTGTAAGAAGATGATGTATTGTGCTTTCTTGACATTGCTGGTAATAAGAGGAACAAGAGTTTCGCGGAGCTTCTCAAACTGCTGCTTGGTTCTAGGATCAAAAAGTGGGAGAGTTGTTAAATCGACAGTCGCTGCGGGGTTCTTTTCATCAATTTGCACTGCGTTCGCGGCACTTGTAGACTTGCGGGAGTTGATACCAATGTTGCCAAAAAGATCCTCAGCGTGCTTCAAATCGGATTCTTGTTCGGTTCGTCTGAGGCGTTCTCTTCTTGTAGCCTCATCCTCCTCACTGCTCTCGTCGCTACCTTCTGCCAGTTGTCGTGCTCTCTCGGCCTGCTTTTCGGCGACACGTTGGGCCTTTGACTTCTTGTTCGCAGCAGCCAATGCATCAGCCTTGGCCTTTCGCTCGGCTTCAACCTTTGCCTTCTCGCGCTCAACTTCAGAGTCTTCGGCGGCACTCCAGGAATCTAAGACTTCATCGTCATCCTCTTCGTCATCAAACTTTCTTCGGTTCGAAACGGCAGTTTGTGCGGGTGTCGGCTCCGATGATTCCTCTCCAGAGGATTCCTCATCTATTTGGTAGAGTAGCAGTCAGTCTAAAGTGCTTTCTTTGTGTGTATTGGCATGGCGGTAGATCTTCCACTCAAACCTTCAAAGTGCTTGTTATTCTATGAGACATTCCGCGCAGAACACGCCTTGGAAAAAATAAAATATTCTGCCACTTACCCCACTTGTCAGGCATTTTCAAGACTAGATTTGCGGTGAATAGAACTTTTTTATTGATTCTGGTTTGATTGTTCCGATTATTGGGCCTGGAGTCTCAAAAGCCTCGCTGTAATAGTCTTCACTGTGTGTTGTGGTGGTGGAAAGGAAAATATTAAGAAAGAGGGATTTTGGAAGTTTATCTTTAGGTTTGCGCCCGCACTTGCTAATAGGCAAGTGCCCACTGCCAGTAGTTACAAGTTAGACCGATCTGAACAGACAGTGTCTAGTAATTTTGATTGGTCTCCGATTGGACAACCTTGTACAGTCACAAATGTGTTAGCTCATCAACCAATTTTAACCTTTCCGTCCACACCCACAGACTGCAACATGTACAATAGTAACAGAATTGTACTGGTTTCTTTATAGTAATGGAAACAATAAGTTGAATTTATAAGGTAATGATAACACCGTCACAGTCACAATATATAAGTATTTTTGTCAAAATTTTTCTCATTTTTAGGTATCATTCATCATTACTCTGGCTATGGTATCGCTCATCCCGCATAACACAGTTACCTGCCCAGCTTACTTTTGTCAAAGTATCTTCGGCTCCTTTACATGTTGACGGCAGTTCTGAAGCTCTCTCCAGCATAAACAGCCTTATCACCGAGTTCCTCCTCGATTCTCAAGATCTGGTTCAACTTGGCCAAACGCTCAGATCTAGCTGGGGCACCAGTCTTAATTTGACCAGCACGGAGACCAACAACGATGTCGGCAATGGTAACATCCTCAGTCTCTCCGGAGCGGTGAGAAACCATAACACCCCATCCAGCAGCGAAGGAGTCCTTGGCGGCTTGGATGGACTCGGTAAGAGTACCAATTTGGTTGACCTTCAACAAGAGAGCATTGCAAGACTTGAGTTCAATGGCCTTCTTGATTCTGATTGGGTTGGTGACAGTCAAGTCATCACCGACGATTTGGAAATCGGAGGACTTGTAGAAGTAGCTCCAGGCCTCCCAGTCATCTTCGGCAAATGGATCCTCAATGCTGACGATTGGGTACTTCTTGGCGAGGTTCTTGTATTGATCGGCAAGCTCAGTGTAGGTGATCCACTTGGTTGGGTCACTCTCTGGGTTCTTGAAGTCCAAGTCGTACTTCTTGGCATCCTCCTTGTAGAACTCGCTGGAGGCGACGTCCATGGCGATGTTCATCTTTCCAGTGTAACCAGCAGCCTCGATGGACTCAGTGATGAGCTCAAGAGCCTCCTCAGCAGTTTGAATATCTGGTGCAACACCACCCTCGTCTCCGACGTTACCAGCGGATTGACCGTACTTCTTCTTGGCGAGAGACTTGAGCTTTTGGTAAACCTCAGCACCTTGTCTAAGAGCTTCGGTGAAAGATGGGGCAGCACTGCAGGCTGTATTAGCGTATGATTTACTGCATGTGGAATTTGCAAGTGGGAACTTACGAAGGGACGATCATGAACTCTTGGAATGCCAAACGTCCACCAGCGTGGGAACTATGCGTTGTCAGCAAACTAATCTACAATCCTCAAAACTGCCAGAGTGCTTACCCTCCGTTGAGAACGTTCATGAATGGGACAGGGAGAACGTAAGGCTTCTTGGTTCCGGCAAGATCGGAAACGTGAGCGTAGAGTGGGATACCCTATTGAGCATTAGGCAAGAAAACGACTGTAAGCATGTATTGTGACTGACCTTCTCAGCAGCTCCAGCCTTGGCAACAGCCAAAGAAACACCAAGAATGGCATTGGCACCCAACTTACCCTTGTTTGGGGTACCATCGAGACTGTTCAAGAACTCATCAATCTTGGATTGGTCCTTGACATCAATGTTCTCCTTGATAAGAGCTGGGCCAATGATATCATTGACGTTGGCGACAGCCTTGGTAACACCCTTTCCAGCCCACTTGTCCTTATCTCCATCACGGAGCTCAACGGCTTCGTGTTGACCTGAAGTGCCATTCGATCAGCCTTGTGGTTTTCTAGCGTTTGAAGCGATTTACGTACCGGTGGAAGCACCAGATGGAACAATGGCACGGTGAAGACCAGTCTCAGTGACAACGTCAACCTCGACGGTTGGGTTTCCACGAGAATCGTAGACGGAACGTGCGTGAATCTTAGTGATAGCCATTTTGACTTTCTGTCGAGGAGTCATCATTAGTATTTGGGCTTATTGATCAAATTGTGCAAATAATAAAAAGTGCAGGAATAAAGGGCGGAGATTGAAGAAGAAAATATCGGTATAGATGAGGATGGTGGGGTGATAGCCCCAACTCGAGCTTCAGCTTATAGCTTATTTCTCTACTTCTTGATTCACTTTAATCAAGAGATAGAAATGAAGCTCTGGATCGTAGGTAGATACCCAGATACTAACAACCGTTGAAGGGGAATATCATCAAGATCGTCTTACCTTGAAATTTATGGTGACTTTGGGAAAAGAAAGATGTGATTGTGAGAAAGTGAAGATCAAGAAGTTGGAGACACAGAGAAGAACGAGATCTTTTTCAACCCCTCGCCCCACCAAACGTGCCAATGCGTCGTCCCTTCCCGTACCAGCCTATAATCCCTGCTGACCGGAGTTACTCTTAGTAAGTGAGTTACGCCGAAGTCTTGACTGGCTCGATTGAATAACAGTAATGTACTCTACCCAGCAAATACACCTCCGTTTGGGCACAACTTTATGCAAATCTTGGGTGGAAATGTATCAAAGTGTATATAAAGTGGAATTATGTTGAACTTGGAAGCTATCTTGGAAGCTGTTTGTTGAAAGTTTGAAACATCCAAGTACAAGTCAGACCTACTAAGCTAACACCAACGACGTTTGGGAATGGCACGTCCCGTACTCTTTAGATCTCAACCATTATTGACAGACGAGAGCCGGATTGTTACTAGCTCTACTTTCAAACTTAAAAATGGCTACGTGTGTCTACGGAGTAGTATCTCAAGCCAATGCCATGTCTAGATTATAGCTTTGCGAGCTTTGGTGGTACTATTTCGCCTCTCCGGTGGCCGGACCCGGCTTGAAGAAAGGTTTGTGACTGCTCTTGGGTCTTGAGTCTAAAAGACGAACAATGTACCTACCTACCAAGGTGATTGATATTCACTGTAGCTGTATGGCGTGAAAGATAGTAATGGAGCATGTTCTAAATGATCACATCATAACTTTCATCACTGTCGTCACAGTCGAAGCCTTGAGGTTGGAAGAGGACCAAAAAGATACAAAGTCCTGATTCATCTTGTTGATATATAAAGGTGGAATCGTATCTTCTACGAATTCTAGGTGCGCTATATCTCGAAGCGCAGCACTTGATACCTACTTGCAGGCGATGTTGAGAAGCTCTGGGTAGGTACCTGGGTAATTTGGCACACTTGGGAAGGAATTGAAAGCCGGGGAATTGAGCTACCTCAAAGTACCGTAGATATATCGCTTGGTAGTGAATCTATGCAGGTAAACAGAGCGATGCAATGATCGATCAGCAAAATGTACTTGGTAGACAAATTCTGAGGTTGAGGTTGATGTGAATATTGTATGCCATATATCAATCATTGATATTATTGGCTCATTTAAAGCAAGTACGACCTGACTAATGTTTATGCTTACCTCAGGCAGCTAGATTTTGGAGCTCACTCGATCCACAGGCAACAAGAGCTTCGCATGCAACTTATTAGTTAAGCCATCTTGATACCTCTACTTTCATCATACACACCTTCCACGCAAATTTGAAAACAACGCCCGGTATTATATCCTCGATAATTCAATCACCTCTACCTAATAAAATATCCCATAAATATTATCGAGCTCCGTGCGACATTCGAGATGGCTACCGACGGCGTTATGGAGCGCGAACGTGCGTTGAACACATTCAGGGAGAAGCTATTGGAGTCTAGAGAATGGGAGGCAAAGCTCAAGGCTTTACGGTTAGAAATTAAGGGATTGCAGAAGGACTTCGACCATACAGAGGACAATATCAAAGCCTTACAAAGTGTTGGACAAATTATCGGCGAGGTTTTGAAACAACTTGATGATGAGAGATGTGAGTAGGCCAGCGGTAATACAAATCCAACATTACTGACATTAGTCTTCTAGTCATCGTCAAAGCATCATCTGGACCCAGATACGTTGTCGGCTGCAGATCGAAAGTTGATAAGCTGAAGTTGAAGCAAGGAACCCGTGTAGCACTCGACATGACTACTCTCACAATTATGCGAATGTTACCTCGAGAAGTCGATCCACTTGTTTATAACATGTCTTTGGAAGATCCAGGACAAGTGAGCTTTGGTGGAATTGGTGGTTTGAATGAACAGATTAGAGAATTGAGAGAAGTTATCGAACTGCCACTCAAAAATCCGGAATTGTTTTTGAGAGTTGGTATCAAGCCTCCGAAGGGTGTTTTGTTATATGGACCTCCAGGAACTGGAAAGACTTTGCTAGCAAGAGCTGTTGCCAGCAGTTTGGAGACAAACTTTTTAAAGGGTAGGAGTTTTGCTTGACATCATTTTCACAGTCATACTAATGTGATGTAGTTGTCTCATCTGCTATCGTCGATAAGTACATTGGAGAATCTGCCCGTTTGATCAGAGAGATGTTTGGTTATGCCAAGGAACACGAGCCATGTATTATCTTCATGGACGAAATTGATGCCATCGGCGGACGTAGATTTTCGGAGGGAACTTCGGCAGATCGTGAAATTCAGAGAACCTTGATGGAACTGTTGAATCAACTCGATGGTTTCGATTACTTGGGAAAGACAAAGATTATTATGGCTACTAACCGTCCAGATACCCTTGATCCTGCGCTTCTCAGAGCTGGTCGTCTCGACAGGAAGATCGAAATTCCTCTGCCAAATGAGGTCGGGCGATTGGAAATTATGAAGATTCATGCTTCCAGCGTTGTTATTGATGGTGAGGTCGACTTTGAAAGTGTGGTAAAGATGAGTGATGGTTTGAACGGTGCAGATTTACGAAATGTTGTCACAGAAGCGTATGTATTTCCTCAGCACATTACACATAAGACTTTGCTGACCTTTTTAGTGGTTTATTTGCTATCAAGGATTACAGAGATGCCGTCAACCAGGATGATTTCAACAAAGCTGTTCGTAAAGTGGCAGAATCAAAGAAATTGGAAGGCAAGCTGGAATATCAAAAACTATGATTGTTACATAGATTTCGTTTTAGCATGGCGCATCGCATAATTGAGGGATGGTTGGGCATACCGCTCGACTTTGTAAGAATACTACATTAAAAAGAACTCCTTTGGAATTCCATGAACCTGTACAAACGGGACAGCTTGCCATGAAATAAAATCCTTTTTCCTATTTTCAATCAACCGTAGTTCGAGTGCATCCGTTTATTGCCCCCACAAAGCCATGTTCCATGCTCGCTTGAAAAGGGGCCTTATTAGGTTTTTAGGGTACGGTATATCTTCAACATTGGTTCCTGTGGGGTTGATTGGCGGGGAGTTTGAGGGTCAAAAAGGAAATCAATGTATTGTTTCGCCGAAAGAAAATCTACGATTACATAAAGCCCAGATATAGATTGCTGTAGCCTGAAGAAGAAGCGCGAAGCACACCATTTCTCGGACCGGCAAAAAGGAAACACATCTGCCCAGCTCACAATCCTGATGGCCGATTAGAGATGCGAATTTTGCATAAGTGGCCAACAGTAATAGTGCTTCACACAACGTGAAGCCGCTGTCCCGCAAAAGGAATGCGTGCAGGTCGCTGGCTTGGCTGGCGGTGATACGGTGTGATTTGGTGGATGGGCTGGTAACCCTAAAACGACGGGTTCTCCGATTCTTCTTTGATAGACTGAATCATGGTACTCACAATTGATTGAGCTCCGATTCAGTGGATGAATTCGACTGTGAAAACCTCCATTAATATACTGTACCACTTATATGATATCGTGCCGGTACTTACAACCTCTGCTTCCACCCCCTCCCAATACACACAGTACAGAGTTCAAGTTTGTACGTCATGATGAAGCTTCAGCAGAGAAAATTTGCCTGGATAGAGTTATGCCCCCGCGACCCTGGGTACCTGAATAAGTCCCCTGTGCCTGGAGAACTTGAAATGTTGCTTTATTTAGATTAACAGGTGGGTCAACTATGTGGCTTATACAGCTTTAGCAGAATGCTCCCCTGTTGAGCATCTTCAATAATTGGTACATGAACGAGGAAGAAGGTGGGAAAGAAGAAGAAACTGAAAAGTTTGAGGTCCAAATTGACAAGAAAAGGCGTATTGATACGGGTTCCAAGCGTGAGACTATTCGGGATTGGGTTGGTAAGGTAAGATTTCTTTTCGAAAAGTACGAGAGATACCTACAGCCTCAAGGGTTCTTGAATCCAGTTATTCACCACTAGCACCGTAGTCACCAATTAGTATGTTTGAGATCCGCAGCAACAATCAATTGGCCCCGTATCGTACTGGTAGTAGCTAATAGATTCGTAAACACTTGTAACTTGTTACCGTATTTTTCTTTTCGTTAACACGCTTGACAGGTTGAGAGGCAAAGGGCTGTGGGGGTGACAACGTGCACGTTTACATTCAGACGAAGAATATCCAACCCACCATTCTTCCCTCTTACTCCCCTCCCCTTAAAACCATCCACATCCCTCAACGAAAGGAAAGGAAATCATACATCTCTTTTTTATTCGTTTTCTTTTAATCTACAATCGTTCTTGCTTTCGATACCCTTTTTGCACATCCCACCAATATCTAGATCCCAATAGAACACATCCCCTTTTATTGCAACAATGTGGTATGTATAGATGCATTGGAGATGTCTGCTATCCTTTGAGGACGAGGACCAGAAAGATTTGACAATTTGACTGACCATCTTCTCAGTGGAATCTTCGGATACATTAATTACTTGGTGGAGAAGGATAGAAAGTACATTCTCGACACACTTGTCAATGGTAAGATACACAAACTGCCCCTCCTTTTGACTGAGGTGTTACATATACCGCCATTTCAACCAACAACACTTTTCAATACTCGCACGCCTTTCATCAACTTTTGGGGATCTGCTAGTTAATCATTTGCAATCTACAGGTCTTTCGCGCCTTGAATACCGTGGATACGATTCTGCTGGTCTCGCCATCGATGGAGACAAGAAGAATGAAGTCTTTGCATTCAAGGAGGTCGGCAAAGTTGCAAAGTTGAAGGCTCTCATCGAGCAGGAGAAGCCAGATCTCACCAAGGTTTTCGATTCCCACGCCGGTATTGCACACACCAGATGGGCTACTCACGGTCCTCCATCTCGTCTTAATTGCCATCCTCACAGGTACGTAAAGCTATTGCAGGGTGCTATACATTGCTGATGTGAGATTTGCAGATCTGACCCCTCCTGGCAATTCTCGGTCGTACACAATGGTATCATCACCAATTACAAGGAGTTGAAGACTCTGTTGACATCAAAGGGCTTCAAGTTTGAGACCGAGACCGACACAGAATGCATTGCCAAGCTTGCAAAATACCTTTACGACCAACACCCAACAATAGGTTTCACAGATTTGGCAAAGGCAGTTATCAAGGAATTGCAAGGTGCTTTTGGTCTCTTGATGAAGTCAGTACACTACCCACATGAGGTTATTGCTGCACGTAAGGGTTCGCCCTTGGTTATTGGTGTACGAACAGAGAAGCGCATGAAGGTTGATTTTGTTGACGTCGAGTATGCTGAGGATGGACCATTGCCTGCCGAGAAAGCTTCACAAAACGCCGCATTGAAGAAATCCAGCGTTGGAAATTTCCTCTCCGCTAGCAATGCTCTTGCTCCAGCAGACAAGTCCTTGTTGCACAGATCCCAATCTCGTGCCTTCATGACTGATGATGGAGCTCCAATGCCAACCGAGTTTTTCCTTTCTTCAGATCCTTCCGCTATCGTCGAGCACACCAAGAAGGTCATGTACCTTGAAGATGATGATATCGCTCACATCCACGAGGGTTCTTTGAACATCCACAGACTCACCAAGGTTGATGGCTCATCCAATGTCCGCACAATTCAAACTCTTGAGTTGGAACTCCAAGAGATTATGAAGGGCAAATTCGATCATTTCATGCAAAAGGAGATTTTCGAACAACCAGAATCAGTCATCAACACAATGAGAGGACGCTTGGATGTCGAGAACAAGACAGTCACACTCGGTGGTTTGAGATCATACATTGCCACTATTCGACGTTGCAGAAGAATCATATTCATCGCTTGCGGTACCAGTTATCACTCTTGCATGGCTGTTCGTGGTGCTTTCGAAGAGCTGACCGAAATTCCAATTGCCGTCGAGCTGGCCTCGGACTTCCTCGATAGACAAGCACCCGTCTTCCGTGATGATACTTGTGTCTTCGTTTCTCAATCTGGCGAGACTGCCGATTCCTTGATGGCTCTACGATACTGCTTGGAGCGTGGAGCGTTGACCGTTGGTATTGTCAATGTTGTCGGTTCCTCCATCTCCCTCCTCACTCACTGTGGTGTCCACGTCAACGCCGGTCCCGAAATCGGTGTTGCTTCTACCAAGGCCTACACTTCTCAATTCATTGCTATGATCATGTTTGCTCTCTCCTTGAGTGAAGATCGTTCTTCGAAGCAGAAGAGACGCGAGGACATCATGGATGGACTTGGAAAGATCTCAGGACAAATCAAGGAGGTCTTAGAGCTCGATCAACCAATCAAGGAGCTTTGTGCCAGAACCTTCAAGGATCAAAAGAGTTTGTTGCTTTTGGGTAGAGGTAGCCAATATTCCACTGCTTTGGAGGGTGCTCTCAAGATCAAGGAAATTTCTTACCTCCATTGCGAGGCTGTCATGTCTGGTGAACTTAAGCACGGTGTTTTGGCATTGGTTGATGAGAATTTGCCAATCATCATGATTCTTACTCGTGATGAGATTTTTGCTAAGTCTCTTAACGCTTATCAACAAGGTATGTTTACACACTCAAATTCTTTTTATCTACATAACTAATGTCAATGTCTATAGTCATTGCTCGTTCTGGCAAGCCGATTGTTATCTGCAACCCTGGAGATGAGGAATTCCAGACCAGTCAAGCCGAGAAGATTGAGATACCAGCGACTATTGACTGCTTGCAAGGTCTCCTCAACGTTCTCCCACTCCAACTTATTTCCTACCACTTGGCTGTTGCCGGTGGTCTCAACGTCGATTTCCCAAGAAACTTGGCCAAGTCAGTTACCGTTGAGTAAACGTTTTTTCGGCATGGCATAGCTATAAAAGGCTACTAAGCCCTATCGCTTTGGTGTTCTGCTGGACTCGGATGCATTGAAAGGAAAGGAAAGGATGGGCAAGAAGTCTAGCTACACATCCAAGTGTTATACTTCTTTATTTTTTGCGTAGATGTGTGACTTAGCGAATTGTGGGCACTAAAAACTCGGGTTGGGATCTTTTGATGGAGGGACGGTATGTGCTACTGTAGTTAGCTACTATTGCGATGAATGCAATGGACTTTCTTTAGATATCTACTCATGCGAAAGCGTAGTTGCCATTTGCGCAGGGAAGTCAATAGTCAGACATGCTCTCTTTTTTGATAGACTGTGAAATGAAATATCTTGTTGAGACATTTGGCTTTTTGGTGCTACACGGTATGATGCTTGTTACGACAGTCTGAAACATTTAGATGGATTACAGGTGCCAGTCACGACCTTTTGTAAGTTGAAGAGGTGCAAAATACAATGGAATATATTTCATGGAATTCCAAACGAATGAATGACTTAAAGGTATATTAACAATATCTATTTATGACTAGTAGGCATGATACGTGATGTCCCCAATGAATCTTCGATCCCCCGCTGCCAGAATGTGGACAGCTCCAACATGCATGCTATTCCATAATCATTAAGCGGGTACGAGAGCATCAAAAACGACTTTTCGCCCGCATGCCCATCAGTTTCTCCAACCCTGCCTCACCCAACGTATGTACAAGTAGAAGAAGAATTTAGTCAGGAAATAGGCGGAAAGTTTAAAGAAAGTCATAATACAAGGGTAAAACTATGCAGGAAAGGGTTGATCCCATCATCGACGAAATCGCTTAACCAGAATTCATTATTTGCCATTCTTCTTTGGCGTCTTTGATTTTGGGGTCTCTGGCTTTGATGTTTTGTATTTTGGAGTTGTTGATACTGGCGCCTTCATCTCGTGGGATTTGGCGGGAGATTCGGCCTTTGCCTCCAAATCCTCTGGATAGATGCTACCTTCGGCGTTGTCGAAGAGAGTTTGATCGCCCTTGCCACCCATCTCAATGAACTCATTTGGATCCCGTTGAGCAGCTGGAACTTTCTCATTCTTGATTCCGTTTTGCGTAGATTCTTGTTGAGTTGAGGACTTGTTGATACAATTAGACTTAGCATTTGGATTTTTGACGTATACCTTGACAGGTTCTTTGTCAGAGTTGATGTGGATGATCTTGGAAACCTTGACCTCGTTGATGTCGCTGAGTAGTGTTCTCTCTCTTACGATCTTACGCTTGCTAAAGTCGAGACCTGCAAGTCCACCGACTAGACCGTCTGTGCTATCATGAACATTGAGAGTCTTCTGAGTCATCCATGGATGCGCCAAGCACTCATCAACGGTATAACGCTGCTCCGGGTCGACTGTCAACATGCGATCAATGAGATCCAATGCTGGATCCCCGATGTGGTCCCAGTATGGAGAAGGATAGTCAAATCTACCGAGCTTGATCTGGGCTTTGAGGTCATAAGGATTGTCTCTGGAATACAATTCATCGGAAAATGGTGGGAATCCACAGAGGCATATGTATAGAACAACTCCTAATGACCAAATATCAACTGCACGAGTGTATTTTCGATGATTGTTGTCTTGGAGGATTTCCGGGGCTACGTAGCTTGGGGTACCACAAAGTGTTGTCGTAAAGGACGCCTCTCCAATAATTTTTGAGAGACCAAAGTCTGCAAGTTTTACATGCAAATCTTCATCTGTCATCAAAATATTCTCTGGTTTGATATCTCTGTGTACGATACCACGTTCATGCTATTATTGATTGGTTAGCTAGAGGCAATGGAATGATGTCGTGAAAAACACTCACCAAGTATTTCAAGCCCTCAAACAGTTGAACGAAGACCTTTCTTGTTTCTTGTTCTGTAAGTTTACCCTTTTTGACAATCCAGTTAAATAATTCTCCTTCCGCTGCGAGTTCTAGGACAAGGTAAGTTGCGCCAGGTTCATCAAAAGTATCTTTTAAGCATAGAATGTTTGGATGACTGACGCCCATTAGTATTGCAATTTCTTGCTGCAAACCTTCAATTCTTTGTTTTTCTCCGACGCCGGGCTTTCTTGTAAAGACTTTGACAGCGAAACGTTGACCTGTAGCCCTCTCGACGCATAAGTAAACCGTTGCATAATGACCTGACCCAAGTTTTTCTAGGAGTAGGTATTTCTGCAAAAATTTACTGGTTTCGCGCAACTTCGGGTATCGAAAGACAAATCTAACATCATCTACCACTTCTATTTCATCTCCATCTTCGAGTTGGCGACGCTTGTTTCGTCCAATGATACTCTCTTTGATGAAAGTACCATTGCTTGATAGATCCTCAACGAATGCAACGTTTAGACCTTCTTGATTTTCGGTGAAAATGAGACAATGTCTATTGGAGACCCTGATATCATCGATGTTGAGATCTAGAAAAATTGTCAGTACCACACTTTTGGATCAGATTGTCTAGGCTTCACTTACCACACTCCGGATGTCGTCCGATCAAATATCCTCCAGAAGCAATGCCTTTGAATTTGGTAGCTTCATAGGCTTCTTCTTCCTTATTCAAATCTTTGCCTTTACGAGGGTTTCCAAGATCACTGTCTTTGTCTGGCAACGGGCAAGCATTTCTTCTCCTCAAGACAAGACGTCTTCCATACTTGTAATTGAGAGGCATCAAGTATCCCCAAACACCTTCCTCTTCCTCATCTTCAACCTGACTTGACAATGTAGTTGCGTCTCTTTGTGATTGGCTCAATTCTTGAGTTTTTGCTTGGGAGTAACGAACGGGAGACGACAATGCTTGGGAATCCTTAAGGAAACGTTCACTTGGTTCTGGGGTTCGGTGCTGGATTTGGCTTGGTCGACCTTCTGGTGGTGTTGCAGTGCCATCTCTTAGATTATCACTAGAACCAGAACCTTGATGGGTCACTGGGGAAGGAAGGTGCTGCTTATTCGAGATTGGAGTATGGCCCGGTTGCGAGTGTCTTTCTGATCGGCGCGGCTTTTTGTATGATTCGCTCTCTTCAATCGTTCCTACCTACGTTGAGATTATGTGTCAGCCTTTTCGAATTTCAAAAATATAGGGAAGGAGCGATTTTTCCTACTCTATCGCGCTTTAAATTTCCTTTGCCTCTTTCTGAAGGCATCTTGGCACAAATTGAAGGTCAGTTTGAGTTTTGATGCGATTTGAAGTACTGTATATCGAAGAAAGTGTAAGAGTTAAAAGATTGAAGTGAGCGGAGGCGTTGGGATTCTGCAGATCTTGCAAATGCTTTAGTTTTTGATGAAAGTAATTATGCAAGTAGCCATTCAAACCGATTATCAGTTTTTTTTTGCGAGGAGTATATTTTCTTTTGATTAGGGAGTCGGAATTGATTGTCGGATTCATTCTTTTCGATAGGTAATCAGAGGGACTAGGTACTCCAGATCTTCTCTATACCACATCCACACTAGGAATATGAGCTCGGCCGCTCGGGGTAGAATGAACTAGGGACCTTTACTGCCTAGAAGTGATAGAAAAATGTGTCGATCGTATGGATCGATATCTTCACATTCACATAAACCCCACCAACTGCAGAGGAGGATCTGCTTGAGTATTGGATTCACTTGTCATAAAGAAGGTATTTTATTTTTCTATATTTGTGATATTTTATATGTGGTGAATTGACAGCATCACGAAAGAGCATGTTCTCAAGGCAGCAATCAACACCCGACTATCTAGGTAGGTATTTTGAATACGAAGAGGGGAAAGGAGAGATCCGTATTGACTAATAATATTGGCAATGATATTAATGGTATTGCTATCAGTAGGTATTCGTACCAACTACTCACCTACCTCGTACAATTTCAACTCAACACTTTTGCTACATGATCGAACATGATCTACGAGTACAAAATAGCATCAACATCAGTAAGCTTCTACGCACAGGGGCAAACGTCATGATTATTTTTATATACAAATCACTGTTTCCCCATGTTGAGTGGAACTGAGACTAATAATGAATGTGGATATAACATACATGTATGCCATATGGCTGGTGGGGGGTGAAGATATAAGCCACGAGTAAGATGTTTCGAGGTGGAATTTAGGTCAGAGGGCTAGATTTTTTCTAATTCTTCGCCCTCGCTATATTCAATATCATCGATTATCCTGAGAGCCTCAATCCAAATTTCTTATTTGAATCGTTTCCCTTCAATCTAGGGTTCATCAAATACGATATCTCGTGATATTTATGCATGCTCGGGTCTTGTGAATACATGATTAGTATAAACAATATCAGGAGGAATTCCAATGGTCTGCTGGACTATTGTAAAACATAGTCTCTGAGTCTCTAGTCATCTGACGTCAACCAAGGCTCTCCACCCCGGGACCTTATGATGATGATAGAATCTCGAGTGTTCCAAGTGTCCCAAGGTCTTTCCTTACGTTAACCGCGGACCTCCTAAGTAAAAACTTAAAGTCGTACCTAGTCCTCAAGTCGAAGCTTGAGATGTCTTGTTGTAGTTTTGAAGAGATCTTCGCCAATAGGCCGTGAATCTCAACTCTCGAATCTTGTCTTTCTCTTGACTCCTTGCGTGTTTGATGAATTGGGCCTGCCCTTATCGAGTCCCGCCATGATCCGCTCGGCAGTGCTTTTTTGTCCCTTTCCATTAATGCCACTAGTATTTGAAGGCGCGTTGCGAGTTTCGCCCGAGGCAGTTGCAGGTACGAAGTCCAGAGCTTCCCTTTGACCTCGCGCTTTCTTTTCTTCTCTTTCCTTCAAGATTTTTTGTTGGGTTTTCGCGAGTTCCTCCTTATAAGCATACTCTGGAAATCCAGCCGGATTCCATAGATCCTGAGGAAGAATTGTTGCATATTGTTCCGCCTCGTCAATATCCGCAAAGTCCATGAGCTTCTGCATCAAACTCGGGTTTTTGAGCGCCGCCGACTTTGCAAGCTTTTCGTTGAAATGTGTACCCTGCTTTTTTAATTCGAGGAAATGCTTGAATTTTGCATTCGTACTGGCTACTGGTGAGCCTGGGGGTGAAGGGGGAATATCATAATTAGGAACTGTCGGAAGGGTAAGATCTCGTAACAAAGCTCGATTCGCGGAGTATGGTGACTGTGGTTCTCCATCTCGCTCCCCATTCATGGCATCCTCTAATTCTGAGAAGCCAGTTGCCTCGACTGGTCCCAGTTGTGGTCCAACAAGTGGAGCGTTTGGTTTTGGATTGCTTGGTAGTTCAATAGTTCGTGAGGTTTCCGTGGATGGAAGCTCTTCCGCATGTAGCTGCACATCTTTCAAGCAGTCAGAAACGCTACAAATCAAAAATCTATTGTCAGGTTCGCGTACCTTTTGCTGTACCATTTGTAGTTGAATTGTTGGATATTAAATCTCCAGAAGTCTATAGCCTACGATGTCAGTGACTCTCACAGATTTCAGTTGCATTAAATATAACACCCAGCTTACGTTCGAAGAAGTCTGCGGGTTGTCAATCTGAAGTGAGTCGTCCTCATCGCTGCTTCCATAATCTACTAAACCTGCCATGATTATTGTATTGCGAGTGGTTTCGATAAGGAAGGATCGTTTAAATATACCGAAACAGGTGATAAAATAAACTTCTTGACTTTAGCTACTAGGTACTGGTACTGGTACTAGCTTTCCGTGCTCCAGATTGGTTCTCGGGACTTATATCCCGATATTTGGCCTCAGGTTGCAGAAGGCGCGTCCCAAGCTCTGCCTGGAACAACGAGAGCTTAGGTTCCTCAAGCTCCAACACTATCAATAACTTTACCCCCATGAACATTTGAAGATACCACACCATACCTTAACAACCTTTCAATCCCAATAACCCTACAAACATCATGAATCACCTTCCACAAGCTTGGGGTCGTGTAAGTATAAATATACTCTCAACATGAGTGAGATATATTCAGATTACTGACATTCAAACAGCCTAGAGACGATGTGTATGGCGCCTATGATGCTTCATATCTTCAACAAAATGGACCAAATCAACACACTCAATCACCCATCGTCACTGGTACATCGGTTGTGGCGTTGAAGTTTAAAGATGGCGTCGTAATCGCAGCAGATAACTTGGGTATAGTCTATAACTATAAGCTCTAAATGCATCTCACTAACAATTCCAATAGCATCATATGGTTCTCTCGCACGATTCACAGACGTAAAACGTCTTCGAAAATTCGCAGACACATCTGTTGTTGGATTTGGTGGCGACGTATCAGATATGCAATACCTGGACCGCCTTCTCCAGTCCCTCGACACCGAAGAAGCATACGGCGCATCAGGTCACACCCTCAATGCTCATAATCTCCACAAATACCTCTCCAAAGTTCTTTACAAGCGTCGATCCGATTTCAATCCTTTATGGAACACTTTACTGGTTGCAGGGTTGGATGAACATGATAAACCCTTCTTGGCGAGCGCTGATTTATTGGGCACAACGTTCTCCTCTCCAAGTTTGGCTACTGGATTCGGTGCGCATTTGGCTCAGCCGTTGTTAAGAAAGGTTGCACCAGATGAGGAGGCTGCTGCGAAGTTGACCAAAGAAGTGGCTTTAGAGGCAGTTAAAGAGAGCATGAAGGTCTTATTTTACAGAGATGCTAGGAGTATGGACAAGTATTCGATTGCGGTTATCACAAAGGAGGGTATCGATTTGAAAGAAAACGAAGAACTGGAGAAGCAAAGTTGGGCTTTCGGTAAGATTTCAAGTATTAATCACTTCGTGACAGTGTGCTAACAGTCAAATAGCTGAACAAATTCGGGGATACGGGACCCAGGTCAACTAAACAAATGATTTTAATATACCTTGCGCTGTAAACTAGACAATGATGAAATGAAGCATATCAAGTTTTGAGGTTCCTTGCCTCGTGGCTAGCAAACACCATCCATCCCATCTCCAGGTTATTTTCTCAGTCATTTGAATAATGTTGTGATTTTTGCTTTTCCGTAAGTGCAAAATATCGTGTCAAATTTTGAAAGTTTCGAAAGTCAATTCTTGCCATGGTTTTGTGGAATCTCAAGGGTTCAATCTCCGAACGCACTGCTGGTATACCTAGCTAGGTGCATTCAACAACGTCTTCCGGCCTCTCATGTCAGAATGGATGATGCAGTGAGGTTTGTTCAGTGAAGCTCATACGTCAACACTAGTGAAGAGGTGTTTCGCTACAAAGGAGGGACGTAATTGCAGTGTTTCTAGTCCCGAGGTTGCGCTCAAGCATATCTACTTAATAGTCCCCTAGAATTTCCAAATATTAAAAGGCTATTGCTGTTTATATAAATAGGTAGCTGTTTTCGAGAAGAACAGCGATCTCGCGTTATCTCAACAGCCAAGTAACATGTGCATGTCCTAGCCCCACTTAGCTCCGATACCCCATGAATGTCACCCCTACTCTTTGATTGGTCAAAGCTATGCTCGCCAAAAGTGTAGGGAGAAACCGAAGCAAGAGGATGTACTCTCTGCTTTCTTATATAAAATATGATGTTCTTATGGTGGGCTATTTACTTTTTCTAAAATGTTACTATTCTTCAAATTTCTTAATTGTTATATTTCCAAGAACAGAAGTTCTGATTCCAATAAAGAAAATCTTCAAAACGTTAGTCCAACAAAAGTCTATTCAATATGACTAAAGTCCTCGCCTCTGAAGGTGTTGTCGCTCCAGGATCTATCAACCAATTTCCAAAATCTTCCTCGGATGTTCCATATCACTCTATAGACATTGAGAAGAACTCCCACCTCCAAGTACCGTCCGAACCTCGGGATGATTTCCAGAAAGACCACCAAAAGACTTCTCTTCTCAAAAGTCTAGGATGGCTTGATCGGCTCCTGGCTTTATGGATCTTTCTCGCTATGGCTATTGGTATCTTGCTAGGAAATTTTGTGCCAAATATCGGGACTGCGTTGCAAAAGGGAGAGTTTGTGGGTGTTAGTGTGCCGATTGGTTCGTGCTTCTTTTCTTCCTTCCTGGTCTACAGTGAAGTATAATAACAGAAGATATTGACTTAAGCATATAATCTGGAGGGAAGGTTAAGATGTATCGGTTTGCTCTATACGCTAACACAACAGTGATAATATAGCTGTATGTTTGTTGGCAATGATGTATCCAATTCTTTGCAAGGTCAAATTCGAAATCCTGCATCTTGTCTTTCAGAAGAAGGATATCTGGGTTCAGATCGGATTTAGTTTAGTCGTTAACTGGATTGTTGCCCCACTGTTGATGGTACTTAAACCTCCCTTGCCTACCTTTGATATTGTTAAGAAACAGCTAATGAGGACTCACATACAGTTAGCTCTAGCATGGGCCTTCCTACCCGACAAAGAAGAGCTTCGATCTGGTCTGATACTTGTCGGAATAGCTCGCTGTATTGCAATGGTATTTTACCTTTTTCTCACTTCATGCTTGCAACTTAGTCGACTAATCTCTGCTAGGTCCTAATATGGACTGGTCTAGCCGGCGGCTCGACTTCGTACTGCGCTATCCTCGTGGCCATAAACAGTCTATTGCAAATGGTTCTCTTTGCCCCCCTCTCCGTACTTTTCATCTCCGTCATATCAGGCGCCGAAGGCCCTGCTGAGTTCTCCTACTCAACCATCGCGTCCAGCGTCGCAGTCTTCCTCGGTATTCCTCTCGCAGCCGCTATCCTCACACGTTTCCTCCTCCGTCGCCTCACATCTCCCTCCTGGTACGACACTGTGTTCCTCAAATACCTCTCGCCCCTCTCTCTTCTAGGTCTCTTGGCCACTATCTTGATCCTTTTCGCAAGTCAGGGTCAACATGTTATTCAGCAGATAGTTTCGGTTGTACGAGTTGCAGCTCCTCTAATCGTCTATTTTGCAATTATCTTCTTCTTTACTTTATTTGTCTGTGCGAGAATGGGATTCGGATATAAGGTTGCCACGACGCAAAGTTTCACGGCGGCAAGCAACAATTTCGAGTTGGCTATCGCTGTGGCTGTTGCGACATATGGCGCGGATAGTGAACAGGCGTTGGCTGCTACGGTTGGCCCGTGTATGCATTCTAGAAACGCCCCGTTAGGAAGATGTTTACTGATACTTTCATATAGTGATCGAGGTGCCAGTTTTGCTCGGGTTGGTATATGTGGTAAGGTGGATTGGGGAGAGAAGAGGATGGAAGGATTAGAGTTTGGAGTGGAATAGAAGTTAGGTGTACACGTAGAATTCAATTGAGAGCATCAATTTCATTTTTTGGTGGGCTCCGGGGTGTATGGGGAAGAAACAGAAGGATTGCACCTTAGACCTTTGACAAAGTAATACATAATTCATGATCAAACGGTGGATAATATTGCATGCTTAGCTCCCGATAATCCTCAAGCATCGGGAATAATAACCAGATATCATCACTGATAGTTATTTTCATTCTTCCCATATGCAGTACATATCGTCAGAGAATTACATGTACACATGATGACCACCAATATATAGCAACACGCCAAGCAACACACCTGACAACTCTAACGCTAGGCAATCTGTTGCAAATTACAAAAAGGGAGGGAGTAGGTATGTAGATACAGGTACAATACAGATTTATTCATCGCTATCGTCGCTATCCACAATTCTCCGCTTGTTTCCTCTTCCCCTTACATCGCCATCCCTCTTCCTCGTAAACATGTTCGGCGTCGCTTTCTTCCCACTACTTAATACACTACTAGATCGGAAATCTGTACTTTTTTTAGTGACTGTATCACATCTGACGAGATCTTCGATGGTAGGTAAGTCATCATCGCTACTGTCTTGTGTCATCGCAGGTACCGATCTCTCAGAAGACAGATTTTTAGCTTTATCCCTCTCCACTGCCCTTCCCAACAACCCGCCTTTTCCTCTCCCCTTTTGCCTCTCATCCCCATCCCATCTCTCCATCTGTGGTGGGCTTGACGAAAAGTTGGAAGTCCCTGTAAGGGTCATCTGGGTTTGGATTTGCGTAGGATCGATAAAATCAACCAGGCTTCCCAGATCCGAGTCGTCACTCGCTTCTAGATCTTCCATGTCACTGGTTCTGTCAACTCTTTCACCCGGCCCTTCTTCTTCGGAATCAGGTGTTGGTTGAGGAATTTGAGAAGAGCGGAGATTGGATACCATGGCCATAGATGCGGTACTATCTTCCGAGTCGGAATTCTCGTGTTGAAGAGGGCGATTACGACGTGGTGGAGCCTTTTTGGATATGGCTTTTCTGGATGCGGGTGTTTTCTTAGACGCGGATGTGGTTTTGGTAACTTTAGAAAGCTTTGCAACTTGTGTGGGCTTTGGGACTTTAGCAGCTTTAGAAATTCTGGCAAGTAGTTCCGCTTCTAATAGCATCGTTGGCATTTTACCGAGGTCAGATGGCGCTTCATCTCCATATGGTTTGATATCACGGTCCCCAGGTGCTTGGGATCTCGAAAGCTTGCTGAATAGATCAACGCATTTTCTGGTGTACTTTCCGTGTGAAACCTTGGCTGTCATGGTTAGAGATCGTTGTATGCTTGGCTGAGCTGTCAAGTCGGGCATCTCAACCTCTTCCAAAGCACCATCTGGCACTCTTAAAAAACGGCGATCAAGCTCTGCCATATCCCTCTCACTTAGTAACACGGAGTCGAGTAAGGGCACTGGCGCTAGCTCATCATCATCCAGCTCACTAGGCTTTCGTTTGATGCCGAAAATTGCTGAAGTGGAGCCCGCGACACTGCCATTGAGTTTCGAGGCGTTACGAAAACCCGTTTCAACACCATCAGGCATATGGAATTTTTTGGCAGGCTTCTTCTTGGCTTTGGCACGTCGTTTCGGTTCCGGCAAAGATGGATCTTGGGTATTCTCCGGAGGAATTTCAATGAAACGTTTTTCGACCTCAGGCTTAATGTCTCTCGGAATGATACGAGCAGATAAATCGTGGCGAAAAGTGAAGCGAGAACCAGAACTAATCATTCTTTGCATCTGCTCGTAATTGTCCTTTGACTTCTTGTATGAATCTTCCTCCTTCCCGCGCATGAGAAGGAGAACAATCTTACCAGCTCTCTTTCTTCCTGTACGTCCCATTCGCTGCAGCATCCTGATAGGGGATGAAGAAGAGTCATAACAGACGATCAGGTCGACTTCTCCAATATCCAAACCTTCCTCACCAATACTGGTTGCAACTATAACATTTATGCCTCCTGCTTTGAATTTTTGAATGGTTTCAAGCTGTTTCTCCTGATTCATACCTTCTGAGCGCTTCGAGTCGCTTTGGCCAACGAAGACAGATGCTTTGATCATTGGACCATGTTTGTTGAGTACCCGTGCTATATCTTCAGCACTATCACGGTACTCGGTGAAGACTATTACCCGAGTGCTTGAAGGTGGCACGTTGTCACCCCTCAACCCAGCGCCCGCGTCAAGAAAGTGATTCAGCACTGTATCGCACAGATGAGTGAGCTTTGGGTGGCCAATAAAGTCTTCCTTATTAATCCAACTTTGAATCCTGTCCATCATCTTTTTGAAGTCTGGATCATTAACGACTTGGTTTTTATATTTCCCGCCCTTTTTGTTTCCCTCGACCTCTGCTCGAAAGTCCTTGATATTTGAAAAGAATGGCCCAATTCCATGGAAGTTGAGAATTTTTATTGCATGCCCCATACTCGTCAACACAGTGAACAAGGCATTCATCATTCCTTTGACGCCCATGTTCGCAGTCTTACCTGCACCAGATGCCATCCACGTCTTTCTAGCTGTAAGCATGCCAAACTGAGTGAGTGACATAGGATCCTTATTGTAATAGGCTTTCTGCGAGCATAACAAATTGACAAGCGGCTGCAGCGCCCTGCTAAAGAGGTCTCTGATCATAATGATCTCATCAGAAGGATCTATGAGAATCTCAGTGATATCTCGCCGATGAACGTACTCCTTAATGTCGATAGACTCTTCTGTTCGAATTTCAACCTCAGCAATCTCCAAATTATCGATTACCTCCTGAACTGCTTCCACGGTTGATCCAGGGGTGGCTGTCAAAGCAAGTACACGGAAACTCTTATTGAATCTTCGCAGAAACTCGACAACTTTAGTATATGCGTATTTGCCGGTTGCTCGGTGTGCTTCGTCGACAACCAGAAGCGCGATCCTTTTAGGGTCAGCTATGCCAGTTTTCAAATCGTTTTCGACAGTCTGTGGCGTCATGAAAAATACTCTCTTTTCATCCCATTCTTCGGCTCTTAAAGCTGGGGTCTGATCTCCTGTCAGCATAGTCGTTGATGATCTCGGTATGCCCGCAATCTCGAAGCAAGCTTTAACTTGCTGAGACACCAAAGGTTTTGTTGGCGCCATAAAGACTATTTGTGAATCTTTCGTCCACCGAAAGAAGTTGAGCATGATGGTCGCTGCGATAAATGTCTTCCCGAGACCTGTTGGTAAAGCCACCAAGAGATTATTGAAAAGTCCCTTATGTACGATGGTGTATTGATATCGCCGTTCTGGACCTAGGTTATTTGGATACACCCATGTTTTGATAGCCTCTCGGTCCAAAGAATGATGCGTCGGTGGCTCTGGTACCTTGTCTACCAGATAATTATGCACTTTTTTAGCTTGAGTAGAAGATGGCGCCTGGTTGGGAGCACGTCCGCCAAAGAGTGTAGTTTGGCGAAGGCCATTCTGTGGTGCGACCAGTCGCTGAGAACGAACTGATTGTGTAAATTCGAATGGCGGTGATGAGTTTATTGTAATCAAACCAGTTGATATGTTTTGTTGTGGCGGGCTTGGAGAGAAGGCATCGGACGGTAAGTCCTCGAGCTCTTTGGAGAAATCATAGGCGACGACTGGCGCGGGCTGGGGAACAATATTCTGTTTCTGGGCTTTGGTGGGCCGGAACACAGAAGCCAATGCTGGTTTGGGCTTAGCCTCTAATTCTGGTGATGGGAGTGGTCTCGGCCTTTTGTATATAGGCCCTCTAATTCTATAAGGACTCGAATCAGGCATTCCATCCGCTTGTGTCGCCCCCATGATGACTGCCGCCGGTACTTCCTCCGCGCCGAGATGTATCCTGTATTTCGACTGTTTTTTCTCGTCTCCTTCATCATGGTCGCAAGATATAGAGCCTCGCGATCGACGTCGTTGCTGAATTGAGAAATCATCATCATTGTAATCGTCGAGCTCTTGGCCTGAGCTGATTCGCCTTCGTTTTCTGCGATGAGGGGAATTGGATGGTAGAGTTTGCGACGCTTGAGTCAATGCTTCGGCTACATCCCAAACATCTTCGTCGATATCTCCATATTCATCATCCGACATCTCTGTCAAGTTTGAGGTGATTTTTTGGGGTGTTGGTTGGAGCCATAAGAAAGCTGTCGCGATTATCGAAATGGCCAAATCGCGTTCCTTATCGCAGATGCTGATTGGGGAAAGCAAAATCACGGTAACACGTGACGATATACACTGACTTGATGTTTCGGTGGTTTGGCCTATCGTACAAAACTCGCTTTAATTGCAATTAATCCAAGTTTCTCTTTCAAAAAAAAAAAAAAAAAAAAAAAAAAAAAAAGACTTCAACATTAAGAAGAAAAATACCAAGCTTGGTGATGCAACTTTGTTACGTTAACTATATCTAAAGCTAATCTTCTAATTTCAGTGCAATAGAGTGATATCAACGTAATTAAAAATGAGGGATCTCGATGGGTTAAGTTATGTTATTTCAGATAGCTGTGAATACCCTCCCAACAAACAACCAGCCAACATTCAAGGTTGCGAGGTCGGTATCTAAACGTTAGTCAATAAATATGTCAACAAAAAAAAGACTTCTATTTTGAAGGACCTTTATCCTTGGTGGTTTTGTTATAGGTATCAAATCACCGGAGAATTTTTGAGGGCACGGAATAATCATGGCATCTAAAACTGAAAAGACCATCCTCGAAGCCTCCATGGGCAGATACATGAGAGTGATAAGAAACCATAATACTCTTGAAGAGCTCATTGCAGCCTATCCATCATTGAAGGAAAAGTGCCTTTCTTGTCCCTCCGCTCTGACTGATGAAGAACGGCGTGTATTTCTCGATCTTCCTGATTTGGATATGGAGACAGCGAATATCAGAGCGGCGACAGCTCTTTCGCGTGCGGAGTTGAAAAGCTGTTAAAGATCCGAGTGGCCTCACACAAGAAGAGACACTACTGCTGCTAGCTAGGTTCTGGACGCCTAAGACAGGTGCGGAGCGCAAGGTGACCTGGGAACTCCTTTGTGAAACGGAAGAAATAATCATGGGAGAAGAAGGAGCAGCATTTTACGCATCTAGAAACCCCGCCTTTCTTCCCAACGAGCTGGAAGCATTTCAGGCCGGATCCAGAGAGTGGCATGGCCGGCCCACCCGTGCAAGAAAAATGCAAGCTAGCGCCATGGCCGAGGCCGCCCTGTCCGATGCTCCAGAATGGATTCGACGTCTCTATAGAGAGGGGAAGGACTTGTGGGGGTTCGTCGTTCTGTATGATGAGGTGATGCAGGAGATGGATGCAGAATCTCTAGAAGATTTTCTGTGTCATTGGGAGGGTTCGTCAAATTTGCGTTGAAGCACAATGGCTCGAGGGACATAATCGATACAAAATGGTACATGATTCCGTTTAATGCGCTGGGCTCTGCGGTTGTAGCACATGCGTCTGTCGCAGGGACTGCTTTAGATGCAAGTAACAAAAGCAGTCAACAGAATGATGTGATACTCAGACGCGCCTTTCGCGAGATCCTCCAGGATCCCCTGCAGTATGAGCAGAGAGCGGATGTCGCACCCAGAACCTTATTCGGTGGGCAATGTCGGGCTGATCTCTACAAGGACGGCATACAATAGGCCAACAGCTATTTGATTATAATATTTGAAGCTAAGACTTAGCAGTCTATACAAGACCTTCAGAATATAGAAGTTAATTCGTTTATAGATGCTGAGCATTATTTCAAAGCTTCATGTGCAACTTTCTCAAAGCGGATGTTTGGAGAACAATCACCTTCCCGATCTCACAAATACTATCAGTTTATCACTAGCATGAAAGAGAATATTCTATGGATCTCACGAATCACAATTGACAGTCACTGGTATTCTGCGGCTTCTAGAGCATGAAGAGAATAGCTCAATATTTCAAAATTGACCAGTCAATTTTGCGTCACCACTTTATCCTCTCAATCATCTCATATACCTATAATAAGTTACGAATGGCTTATTGAATCCTAAACATACGACCAGTACGCATGATCGAGGAACCTATTCGTGTGCAGTCGAGTCTGCTAGGCAAAAAGAAGCAACATTCGAAACTACTTTTGTTATAGTTTTCAACTTTCTGCAGTCGAACTAAGAGACAGCGATATGAACCTCGACATTTGTTTGAAACACAGATCTGTGGACCAATGCCTATTTAAAAGGTATTTCCGTTGATCTGATTATAACATTTACCCTTGCAGGGAATGTACGTGTACAGTATCAAGTCCTAGTGTCACATCTATAGTGTCTTTTTCTGGCAGGTTGACAAGGATGCTAGTCGTTGTATTTAGGTTCTATCATTGACTTTGTTATTAAGCATATGGTATTCAATGTATCTTCCCAAGTATTTGGATAAGAATGCGCCGGAACAATAGAATTTTCCCCAAGAAGCCCGCTGCCTCCGTCCTGGTTTCGCATCGGAATTTTGCACTTGGCCGATGGGAGGAGTGAGAAATTCAAGCTCGTTGGGTTTTACCTTTATCGGGTCCCCTGGGCCAAAGGGTAGCAATGGAAAGATTCAAAATTGTTTGTCGTCATCGTCAAATTTTAATCAGTATGATCTTACTGCGAGGATGCACTTTTCCGTACGCACTCCTGCTGTGAATTCGCTGGAAATGAAAGTCAGATTTGATTCTGTTTATCCTCGATGCAAGACTCCGCCTCCAAGCCTTGACTATAATTCTCCGAGCCAAGGGGAGTACGTAGCTTACCGGTCGAATAATTAGTACATTAGGGACCGCGAAGGAATGCCGGTGCTGCGCCAACATCTTAGTTGGGATTTCAGCACTTTGGAAACAGGGTTTAGGGTCCTGAGGGCTACATAATTATCTACTTTGTAGTACCAAGTACTATAAGTTCAAAGTTGAACCTTGAAATGGCCCCCAAACACAACATAAACTATCTGTATGCATGGAGGCTCTTTGCATCAGCTTGAGGATCTTGGCTTATCGTTATCCAAAAATCAATGCGTGGTCGCACACCCACCCACCCACACGAGATTAAGCTTTTAGTGCATGAATATCCTTCCCATCGATCTCACATTAAATTGATTTCCTCGCGGTCGGCAAAGAATGAAGCATGATAAGGCCGTCGGCTTTCCGCGTCATCCAGAAGTGCGGCCCGTCACACACGCTCCAACTCTTTGCTGTAAGTTGCAGGCTCCCGGTAATGATTTCAAAAACGGGCCTCGATATTATCATAGGATATGTCTCACGGTTGGGAGTGACCGAGGTGGTATTGCGGGTGACATGACGTGTGACAGGTCGTGAGAGGGCTGGTACAGAAGACATGAGCATGGTACCATGTTACCTGGACTGCGTTTTTGGCAGGTGTGGTTTTGACATGTGCATTTTGACAAGAATATCTACCAAATCTAAGAGTCCTTCCAAATGGCTGCCAAAATTTCAAATGATGGTCCAATATACAAAAAATATTGATCACACTGGTGATGTCTTCAAACTTCCCTCTAGGAGCTTCCCTTCGGCTCTTCGAGTTGAACTATTTACAGCTTTTGATTTTTCTTCATCAATCCCTGCAGGTCCTGTTTCTGTAGCTGCTTCTTCTCCAGCGGTATCTTCCTCATCTGTCTCGTTTCGTACTTTGTAAATGATGACCGGCGCTGCGATAACAAGCGAAACAGCAAGAAGAACCCAGCAAATCAAAAATTCATTCATCGCAGAAATGTTTGAATTGTTTATGCGGTAACTGATAGTACCACCCGCAGACTGGATACCTTTGTAGAAGCCGATATAGATCGAGGCCGTTCGAGTATCGCTCGTAAATTTCCCCAAGATCCTAAAATATGTCAGCTGGAACTTCTCATCAAATACCAACTGATGACTCACCAATATACACAGTTTTGCCATATAGCATTGAAAATTCCATAAGCTATGTATAAAAACATCGGTCCAAGATAATTTACATCATCAAAGTCCATCTTTTGACCCTCAGAGACGATATCTGTTTGATAATAATACCCTTTTTGCCACATGTATCCCCCTGTCCAGATTCCAAAAGTTAGAAGTACAAGTCCAGTAACAAGTCCTTTTGCCCGGACAGATCGGCTCAGGCGATCGTTATCCAAGGTATGGCCCACAACTAGCGCACCTAGAATCTCTGATAGCCAATATAGAAAGTTGTTCAGAGCTCTGGTGCGGATATTGAATGTCTTAAGGTTGAATGTGTTGAATTGATACGGATAACACCAGTTCGAAGTGAGGAACATAGGAAACAATAAAACAATAAAACAGTCTTTGCGAACCAATTTGCAAAAATGCATTACTTCGTTTCGCCAGTCCGTTTCCACTGTTACTGTGACGTGAACGCGAGATCCATCCTTCCTTTTGACATTCTTGGGTTGGCACAGACAAAGAGACAATATCGCCCCAGCGAACATTAAAGCAATGATAGTAATGTATGTGTTATCGGAAGCGACATTGCCGGCGCTTGTTTGAAGCTCTTGACAAAGAGTAACCTTTGCACAAACTATCAGATTGGCTTGACTGGAGAATAAAGTTACTCACAAGACTTCCTATTGCAGCACCACTATTATAGATAGCCCAGAACCAAGAGGTAGAGCGCCCTTTCTGGTCATCTGAGGGATAAGATATTAACATAGCCCCTTGCGATGCCCAGAAGGGCCCTGCGCATACCCCTAAAAATGCTCCCCCAAAGATCAAAAAGCCTCGATTTTCGATGTGTTTATAAGCGAGAAAGCTACCGGCATAAACCACATATGATATACCACCAACAAATAGCGATGCCTTGAGTCCAGTAATATTAACGATAAAGCCGGCAAAGAACCCTACAACTGCAAAACTAGCGTAAAGTGCGATATTCGACTCATTTGCCGGGCCAGGGGCCACCAATCCAGCTCCGCCAAGCCCATTGAGAGCATTGAACATACCAGGACACAGCAGACAAACGACTGCAACTATTGAAAGCTGAACTGACTGTGAGGTGATTGGAGGAAGTTGTAAGAAACTGAATCTGCAAGTATGATGTATTAGGGAAATTTCGCCTGACAGACATGGAGTCTCGAGGTAACTCGAACTGCTACTATGCTCATCGCTAGGTCTACTTGTGGTATGAGACCGCGTGATACTCATCTTTCAGAGCCGATACTATAACACGATGACGAAGAGGGTGGTATTCTGAGGAAGGTTTAAGATGAGGAAAGAGAGCATCACTATCTTCCCATGATCATACTATATCAAGATAAGACTTAGCAGTGATCCCCCTCGTACCTGCCCTACATATCCAACATGGATGTTCGAAAAGCGGAGTAATCAATATAATCACTATATCCTGCCAGTGGGTAGGCGAGCAGATATCGTATTTGCAAACGTAATCAGACGAGAGTGCAGTAGCATTAATATAAAGATGAGACCAGAAACCCCATTTATGTCATGTTGCATGTGTCTCTACAGGATCTTTGCGGGTTACCCCAGGATAAGCGGGAGTAACGGGTTGGCCGTTGAACATCATCACAGTCGCTGTTCCACTGGGAGAACCTAGTAACTCCAGAATATGATATCGGCCCCCACTATCCGAATGTTGTGTTTTTATCATGTTGAAAAATGACTATCTAGTTCCACTGCGACCCAAAAACTTAAGAGAGAGAAAGAGGAGGACATAACGTGAAACCGAATACCTGGTAAAAGGAAGGAAGGGCGATGTTGAGATGTAGGGGTGAGAGACTAACGTCACGTGGTTCCCCAAAAGTATATCTTCCTCGATTTGATGTTACATAAAATCGAGATAATCATCTCATCTCATCGTTGATTCACTCGAAATTCTACTTTAATAATGTTATTACCCGCAACCTGATGCGGGATATTGATTCAAGGTTGGGTCCAATTCCATCTCCTCTCATTTCCCGTTCCATATAAACATGCATCTGTTGATCGTTTAGAAATCACCTTCTAGTAAAGCTCAAATTGGTTGACATTACTTGATTACGGAGAACCCGGTTACTCTTTAACATTGAAATAGAACCCAAGCTATCCTGGAGGTTTTTTTGGAGTTATCCTCACAGTCAGCTTGGTTTTAAAATCACAATGTACTGTATGTATAGGGTGTCTGCATTCTTGAGTAACGCCACTATGGAAGGTGGGTCGGGAGAGTAGCGTCGTGCTTCGAAGGAATCCAATCTGTTCTCCACAGATACCTCGCACATATCGTATATCTTACAACGCAAATGAATCTTACAATAAAATACACATGGGTGTGTCTGGTGCTTGGCACGTGTGCAGATGTATGAAAGCCAGTCCACTCGGTCTCCATTCGCTTGCCATCATGTGGGAAGTAACACTATTCAAAATCTCCACCTTATGGCTACTGGCCGTATTCCTCGAGCCATAATTACTCGTATATGAATACCAAGTTTCAATACGGAGGCTCTAGATTCCTCCCGTGTGAAACCTATCTCTACCATCCCGCACCACCCCGCACCCTCCCCTTTGCCCCATCATGGGAGCTATGGTAATCAGGTTTATTAACAGATATTTGAAAATAGAGTCGACTCAAAACAAACAGTTTTGCAGATGCCCGTGGTTTCTTACTTCGATCCTTTATGTCATGACACCTTCCTTTGACTGCTCGTATTTCTTATTACCAAGAGGAGTGTGGCGGCAAAGTAGTTTATTATTCCTTGGCTCGCGGTGTGTTTTTTGTTGATTCTGACAAACGAAATAGTGGTTTCGTAATTTGCTAAATCGCGGCTTCAGATCGAGATGGTTGACATGCATCTTGTGGTTACGCGAGAATCTTGGACGCCCTTCTATCCTGGTCTCCCGCACTCTTGCGATCAAGAGTATACTAGGCCCCGATGTATTCGAAGAGCCCCTTGTAACTACTGTTGTCGCCTCTATCATTCTTTATCTTATAAATTGAGTTACGTTGTCCGTGTCCCGCACTTCCTTAACACCATTCCACAGATCTTGTACGCTTACTAGAATACTTGAAAACCACCCCCTTGGCCCCCAATATTTTTTCGACAACCAGTATGAAGATCTCTCTTGCTGAAAAAATGCTTCCAGCGATCCTCATTTTGAATGACCGCTACTATCCGAGTTCCGCAAACTCCCCTGCTAAAGTTGGGGCGACTGCTTTTGCGTTACAAGTGATACGAGTTCTGGAGGACGCGGGGCTGTTTGGCGGCGTGATTCTCTATGATCGTCAGGACCACTTAGCGGCGCCCGTTGTACAGCTTGTGACAAGAGATTCAACACCATGCGTCAAACTGTCTTTCAATTTTGGCATGGACACCGTGCAAGTTCGGTATGCCTTATATGCCGCCACAGCTCTACTCATGGCAAACTTCTCAAATAGCCTACCACCAATGCTATATTATCAAACCGACACACTCCTCAGATATCATCCAAAGCGTCTACCTTATTGCGTCACCCACCACGGCCCTTTCTACGGCGATTTCACTCGCCACTTTACGGAAGGCCTTGCTGCTATAGCATATGGCTCCGACAACAAAGCTTCTCATCTGGCAGAGACTCAGGAAGAGGGCTTGCGACAACTCAAAGCTTCTGATCGTGCCTATGTTCTACAGCATTCCAACAAACAAGGCGATTATCTCATGGAGCGAGGTATCGATCCTGCCCGAATTCGAGCACTCAATCCACCGATCCATTCAATGAGAATCTACCACCATCATAAAACAGCCAATATCGAAGAACTTGTGTCCTTCTCATCGAGTGAAAGAAATCTTATATTTACTGCCGTTGCTCGTTTAGATTATTTCAAGAATATAGAGCTATTAGTAGACTCGGCGGTGTCACTCCTCGACCGCGGAAAACTTGTACGCTTACTGATAGTGGGCGGCGAAGGGACTTCAGACACAGCATCAGCGAGATTGATAGCCCGCGTCCCACAAAAACATAGCGCTCATGTCAAGATCACTTCCAAAATTCCGAAGGATGACATGTATGCACTCTTTGATTTTGTACGAACGCATGGAATATTCGTTTGTACATCACGTTATGAGACTCTTGGGATCACTCCACTTGAGGCAGCCCTGAGCGGTGTAACGACAGTGATGCCTGACTGCAACCTTGTTGAAGCCTCACGTTATTTTCCCTCAAGCTTTCGCTTCGACCCTACAGTAACCGGGCTTTCGCATGTATTAGAAGGGTTCCTTCGAAATGAGTTGGAAGATTCTGGACTGGAGCTGCAACACTTCATTAACAGCTTAATTTCAGAGGAGAGATTTGTATTTGACTTGCTGACGGCATGGTCCGAATTCTCACAGCTTGCCCTCAAAAGTTTAGCCAGTTCAAACAGAACCGCCTATAATAAACCCACTCGACCATTGAAGATCAGAGGTCGAAGATATTCCATGTAACCAGTTTCATATATCTCATTTCTTCTACTTGACCGAATACATAAAGGCTTGTTTGGGCGTTTCGTTAGGGGATTGATTATAGTAAAAGTTAATAGCAATAATGATATATGACTTTGAATTAAGCCACGATGCAGATCTTGTTTACTCTGTATCTTTTAACGGTTGCTAAGCCCACAATGAATCTCATATCCAATGTGGAAATATATCCATCATGTGCCAAATTCCCTTTCCGAGGCTGAACCACGATCTCGATCACTGAGCGTTATACTGGGGGACAAACGCCATTTGAACAAAATTCAGTACGAGCCATTACTCCAGACATCAACTCTAGTAGAACTAAAAGCCAAGAGGAAAGCAGATTGAACGAAATCCAGATACTTTCTGCCTGCTAACTTCCAGAATCTTGCAATAAGGATGCTCGGTAGTCTGCCCAATTCCTTGGGCAATATAAAGCTATGTTGGAACATTGGGACGACATCAGGAAAATGCAGGAAGCTTTGTTGAACAACATGATCAGCTCCATTAAGTTACTTTTGTGTTCAAATCGAGGAGGTGAACATACGTTGATATTGTCAAGTTGCTTAGGTAATTTCTAGGCATTCGGATAACTAAAAGTATTCCTTTTGAAGAATCGTCTTTCATTGGCTGTATCATTCCAGAAATTCCAGTACCCACTGAAAACGCCGCTAGTAAATTGCACCCGTAGACGCGTTCCTAGCTCTATGTAATAAATTGTGTATCTGACGTTGAGGTGGAATTGTTAAACATGAAATTCTGCCCTCGTCAATGACATAGGTGAAAACTATGAAATTTATCAAGCCATCTTGGCTTTCTCACAGCGGTAAGTCTGCTTCTGTTATCTACAGATCAATTTACCCAAGAACTGGCTACTTGTATTGTTCTGTTGATGTCGCGTTTGGCTAACTTTTGCGCTCAATGCGCCTCGACGTCTAGGTGAGCAGAAAGACCACGAAGTCTACAGTCTCCATGTATCGCCCGATGGTAAACGACTGGCGACAGCCGCTGGAGGTAAGATGGAGCATTCTAATTGCCGCATTGGCAAAGACCATTGCTAAATACTCGAAACAGATGGCCACGTTAGAATTTGGTCCACCGAGGCGATTCTCGGGGCAGCGGGGGAAAATCCACCTGCAATACCAAGGCAATTATGCCATATGAGTTATCATTCAGGCACTATACATACTGTTCGGTTCTCGCCAAACGGACGGTGGTTAGCTTCTGGAGCAGACGACAAGATTATTTGTATCTATCAACTGGATACACAACCAGCAGCGCATTCTGCATCCTTTGGTATTTCTGAGCTTTCGATTTAGCGGCGGACAACAAGATAAATGCTGACGAGTATTAGGAACCAATGAACCACCACCGGTAGAGAATTGGAAAATTGTTAAGCGTCTAATCGGACATGATAGCGATGTACAGGATCTTGGATGGGCTTACGATTCTTCGATAATGGTATCCGTAGGACTGGACTCGAAGATTGTTGTTTGGTCGGGGCATACATTTGAAAAACTCAAAACTCTATCGGTTCACCAGAGTCACGTCAAAGGAATTACATTCGATCCCGCAAACAAATTTTTTGCGACTGCTAGTGATGATCGAACGATCAAGCTCTTTCGATTTACCTCACCACCACCCAATGCTACTGCTTATGAGTGCATGAACAACTTTACTTTTGAGCACTCAATAGCGGCACCATTTAATTCGTCGCCTCTCACGACATACTTCCGACGATGTTCTTGGTCTCCAGATGGTAACCACATAGCTGCAGCAAACGCAGTCAACGGGCCTGTGAGCTCCGTTGCGATTGTGAATCGGGGGGCCTGGGACAGTGACATTAATCTAATTGGCCACGAAGGTCCGGTGGAGGTTTGCACATTTTCGCCACGTTTGTTTAGCAAGAATGAGTTCACCTTAGAAACTACGGATCAAAATGGCTATAGTACACAGCCTCTGGTTACGGTAATCGCCTGTGCTGGACAGGACAAAAGTTTAAGTATCTGGAATACCAGCAGCTCTCGGCCATTACTTATTTGCCAACAGTTGGCCAGAAAGTCAATTTCTGATCTTGCTTGGTCACCAGATGGACTTTCTCTCTTCGTCGCGAGCTTAGATGGGACGATAATTGCTGCACACTTCTTGAAGGGCGAGCTAGGACATATTGCACCACTGATGGAAAATGAGAAAGCTTTGAATAAATTTGGTGGCAATCGCAAAGGCGCTGGTGTTGTAGAAGACGTGTCATCAATCCAATTGGAAGAGATAAGCAGGGCCGATGAACGTCAAAAAACAGAAGGAAAGATGAGTGCTCTGATGGGAGGCTCCGGTCCAGTAGTGGTCAACAATGGAAACTCGTCGTCAACTCCAATGACTGGGGTAATCAATGCAGCCCCAACTACGAATGGCAAGGCTGCACAACAACCAGAGACCCAACAGCCAGCACCAGCTGATCCCAACGCAGATAGATTGGACGCCCTAAAACAACGAGTTACAATTACGAAAGAGGGGAAAAAGCGTGTAGCGCCCTTACTTGTCTCTGCGTCAAGTACAGGACTGTCATCCTTACCTCAATCTCAGCTCATGGCATCGAGCTCCAACAATGTTCAGAATGAAGCCCCAGTATCAATATTAGATTTATCAAAACCTTACGATGGACTCCCCAGAGGTGGCCTTACGGCTATGCTGTTAGGCAATAAGAGGAAAGCCATTGTTATGGAAGGCGATGAAGAAGAGGATGATGATGAATATCCTAATAAGCGATCAGCGCCAGCTGCTGGACCCGTTCCGATAGTAATCAATGGCGTTAGTGGACTGGAGAATGCATTACCAATACCACCGGTCAACGGCGTCGTTCCAACCCCCGAGTTCATTCGGCCAGCTGTTGTCAACCCATCTCTGTCGGTTAGTCAGGTACGCCTAGCAGTACCGAAAATAAGAAGCCACGTCGTCAGATCCCTCAACCGTGGCAACCTTGCATCAGCAAATGGTAATGGTGCTGGAGGATCCGATGAGGGTGCAAAACTATCCGAGGATGTGATATTGGAGGCCCGGAATCCCATTGTGATAGCGCCTGTTCAAGTCAAAGACCCTTGCCGAATCAGCACCATCAAACGAGGTATCACACTATGGCAAGACTTTCTTCCTAGGGCTGTCATTTTAGTTACAGGTAACAAGAATTTTTGGGCGGCCGCTTGTGAAGATGGAAGTATTTACACATGGACCCCTGCGGGTCGCAGGATATTCAACGCTCTCGTGACTGAATCTCAACCAGTCATCCTTGAATGTCGAGGCTGGTGGTTACTCTGCATTACAGCTGTTGGAATGTGTCATGTTTGGAACCTCAAAACTCTCGCCTCACCACATCCGCCTGTCTCCATGGCGCCAATTTTAGAAATTGCCATGCACTCATTAGGCACGCATACAACATTCGCTCCAGGTGTAACATCGGCCCACCTTAACTCAACTGGTCATATCATTGTCACACTCAGCAACGGTGACGGTTACATGTACTCCCCTAAGATGTTCGTTTGGCAGCGATTGTCTGAAGCATGGTGGGCTGTTGGTAGTCAGTACTGGAACTCTAATGACTCCTCAATCAGTCATTTGCAATCTACAGGGGTTGGTCCCGAAATTCGTAAAGACGGTGAGATTGATAGCTCAAACTTATCGGCAGGGATTATTCCTCACCTGGAAAGGCATACTACCGGCGAAGTATTACTTAAAGGTAGAGCCTACCACCTCCAACGACTCATCAAAACATTACTCTCCAAAGATGGCTTCGAGGGCTTTGAATCCGGTGTCAGCATTGCTCATCTCGAAAATCGCGTTGCTGCTGCCTTGCAGCTCCAAGCTAAGGATGATTTCCGCCTCTACCTGTTCATGTACGCGAAACGACTCGGTGCAGAGGGCCTCAAGAACAAGATTGAGGAACTTCTGCGCAGTATCATTGGTGGAATTTTACAAGAAAAAAGCGATCTTTCCATGGCTGAAAAGGGCGAAGGATGGATGAGTGAAGATGACCAATTGTGTGGATGGGACCGGAAAGAGCTCCTGAAAGGAGTTGTACTAATATTGGGTAAGTCTCTCTCTTCTTCGCCCATCTAAATATATTTCAAGGTCTATATGCTAATTCACCTTACAGGCAAATATCGAGATTCGCAAAGACTGACAGTACAATATGCGAGGGTTCTCGATATGGTCGACCACGAGACTATCTGAGCAACCCTTTTTTTCCATGGATGGATGGCTTCATTGCAGCGGCGTTGTGGACGGACGATTGGGCTTTATATGAGGGGATATCTGGAATCGGTGTCCTTGGTCTTGGCTTGGCAATTTCGCCCGTGTGCGAATATCATGTAATCATTGATAATACCCTGTATGTGATTATGAAAAGCGTTTTGAAAATATTCTTGTTCGGTTGATTTCTAGTGTGAATAATATGATATCGATTTTGGATATGACAGATTTGTTCGGCAACGGTTTTCAACGACACAATAGGGTCTTTGTGACTGGTGTATCTGGGAGACCATTGGTCAACACATCTCTACCAAAATACTCGGCACAGACTAAGTTGCGGGAGCTAGATATTAGACTCAGAACACGCTGTTTTGTTGCTCGTCTTTATTGTTGTACAACTAAAATGGCGGGAAATTTAGTTCGATGTGGGGAGCTGGCTAGTGGCGAATAAAATACTATTATCCTCATTACCTAGTATTAGCTTCCAAGAGAAGAGGCATGATGGTAAAGAATACTTACAGCATCATTCATTATTCGTTGCAAGGAACTATCTTCGAATGGCCATAAGATTTTTATACTAGCCGATGCATAAAATACGTAGCCTTATGAACCAATAATCCCTTCGAGAGCGAGAACCTCGAGGTCTAGACAGCGAAGTTATAGTCTAGAACCTATATGCCAAATATTCAGAGGATGATGACTGTTTCCGAGTCATGTTATATGATATATCGAAAAAAGAAACAGACTATCACACATTTTTGGAATACACCCGGATATCTATCGGAAAATTCGGGTAGCACACCGTGCAGTACACGGAAACCCCATGCCGAAAGTTTGGGTTGGCATGCCGAGGTTCCGAGATGGATTTTGTACAATTTCTCTCATGTTGAAATTGAATTTCTCGTATATTGGATTTATGGTTTCGGGTTCCGGATCAAGTTGGTTGAGAAAGAAGATCTTTGTGTTTGTTGTGAACATTCTGTAATACATTATGAATACTTTGAATTATGAAGGTTGATGGTGGCATATCTATTGTGATTGTGAAAGGTACAAGACCTATTTGTTGTATCTACCCAAGTCCTCACTATACCATTACCAACAATAAAGGTTGGAATCAGCAATTGAATATATATAACAATCGGCTTTAGCGGAAAGATGTGGAAAGTCCCACTATCTCCATGTAGTTTGTTAAATCGTTCTGGCCTGGTTTCGAAAAGATGTAACTTCGAACATCCCATTGCTCAACCACAACCCAGATAATGGAAACTCTCATCTGATAAAAGGAAAAGGTATGTCTTCCGCAGCACAACAACTATATCCCTTCAACAATCCCATTCGAACGTGTAAAATAACCTACATTTGTTAAAAGTCCACAACTACTCCGAATGTTGCATCATTTCATCGGAGCAAAGATACAAGCATGGTATCATTCCTCTATGTCGAAGTCTCAGGGGTAATTGATCAACCATATCGATCGGGAAATGTTCGCAATCACGCAGCCATTGGACCGAAAATGCATTGCCAGACTCAATGGAACGTCAATGATGATATGTGGACATTGTTCTGTGTCTAATGCTCATACATAATATATGTAAAATGATTCATATGGCCAGCCCTCAGTAGATATTTCAGGCGAGATTCCTAGTCGATAACTCAATAAGATCGTCACCATAAACAAACAATCCAACATGCAAAATAGTGTAATTGGGGTGGCCAGAGCAAGAGTCTGAATTATCTTGCCCTATTAAAAAGGGTGATCAAGATCTCCAATCTCGTCCTGAGTATGCGGAACTCCGAGATCGGTTATGGAATAATTAGTCCAAGATTATGCTCCAATTTCTTGTTGATCCATGTGTCTAATTTTGCCATGCTGATCAACAGTCTTTCCCAAAACCTTGCAGATCACTATGGCTTTCACAAAAAATTCTTGCAAACGGAGAAAATGACAGATATAGACTCTCTCATGAACAGACGGTGAGTAAATAGGTTGTGAATGGGCGTGTTGATACTATTTACGAAAAGGTTCTGTCTTGAGCTAATTGGCTAAGCTTGTTAACATTCTGAATTTGAAGCATGAAGCAGCTTTCGCTGTTTTGAAGTTAAAAAAATCCTCTCACTACGACCAGCGAGACTCTTTTCGGAGCAGAAATTCGTTTTTCATGAGTACGGAAGTCAACGACTCTCTTACTTGAAATCCTGTTGTGGCCTCAGTTGACCATCACTCAACCATTTCAACATTAAGTTGACTGGTAGTTGTGGCCTTGATATTAATCACCACACCCTTTCTCCTGGGCTTGTCCACCTCAAACCTCCTTTCAGCAGCCAACACCAGAGATGACAGCAACTACTTTTATGCCGCTACACATCCACGTTACGTCATGTGCGATACTAGGCGGATGTAAAGATGTCAAATCCCGTCATAAATGGAACTGTGATAGCCATATGGGCTAGCCAGCAACAGATGGACTTCAGTAGACCTCAACGGACTAGAATTGCCGAACCCATTCTCCAGGTAAATACATTCGCAGATGATTAGAATGATCAATCATCTGCTGAAAAGTATCTTTTGGTCTTGGCCTTCCCTTGTTGCGCTTTGAAATCATCTGGGATGACTGTATGATGTACAACATGAGGTCTATAAACTGCATCTACTGGTGGCATCCTACAGATATTTGTCAGTATACTTTTTTGATACCTACCGTGGCATTTGCTCATGTTGAGTCCATCTTATTTGATCCTCGTGCTCGGTGGCTGACATCAACAGCCACATTTGACCACATAACGATAGATGGATGACACACAGCCAGCAACGGAAATAGGAAACTAACCAATCATCCAAGCTCAAAGGGAAGTACTCATAAAGTGCTTCTTCATTGTCTTCGGGGCTACCCACACTGATCGCTTTCTTCGACCACCCAATCTTTCCATTCGCGCCGCTATCCTTCTCCGAACTACCTTTTTGGCTTACACCTCTATCTCTATCTCTGTCCGAGAGACCGGATGCGTTTCTAGAAGGAACCTGAGAGTTTGAAAATCCCGTGTCGTCATCAGCTAGAGATAGATCTATTGGGGCTGCAGAAGACTGGGATGAAGTCTTGATATTTGTGGAATCTGTTTTCCAACGAGTTTTAGGAACAGGGGGACGATTGTGAGATGAATTCCTCTTCGCACGGTGTGAAGGAGTGGGTGGCTGGTCGGGTGTTAGAGATGAAGATGTGAGGTTAGGCCAATCAGGTAAGTCCAGTGGTTGCTGCGAATAATCAGTTCCATATTCACCACAATTTTTATATAAATTGTTTTAAAGAGGGGTTGAGAATAATGTGGAGATGTACCTGAACAGCATTCAGAGCGTAGAAGCGATAGGAAGATTGAGAGGTTGCCGGATCAACTTTTACCGTCGGTCCGGCTTCATTGCTCATAGTCCTAGATTTTTGCTCCCCCTTCTTCTCACTAACGGGCACATCTTTCCTGCTGTCAAAATTTCTCGGACTTCTCCCCCTCACAATGATTGCTCCGGATTGAATCTCTGTCAACTTAACCTGTTCCCCGGTGGCTAAAGTAGCCATCAAATTGATTTGTATGACATAATGTTGCTGTAGCCCTTTCCTCCTTCCATTGTTTGCCGTCGCATGTTTGAATTGCAATCGCTTCCACGCTATAGGAATGGAGACACACGTAGGATCCAGCTCCGGATTAATGCTCAAGTCCAAGGGCCATTGTGGTGGGGCTGCGCCAGCTTTATCTTCAGAAGTCGTCACATTCGCTGTCTTCCATGGCACGCTAATAATTTCGGTACTCTTCCCCTCAATACTTTCTAGAGCAGAAATCGTCGCAGTCAGATTATATATTGGAACATGTTGGCCTTGTTCATTTATTATTCTCGTGATGGATCTTGATAAGACAATGGTCCCAGAAATTTGAAATAGATTCCGTCGATAGCAAGTCAATTCCATTGGTCTCCCCACAGTCTCACTACCAAATACATCTTCGGCCACAAAGAACATCCCATATAATTCTGCACTCATTGCTGGCCAAGTTTGTCCATTATCATCTAAAGTTGGCACTTTCATTATCGGTGCGCCAAATCCGAGTAATTTGTTATCCGGGTCGCTAGAATTGGTATCGCCATTATTTTCTGGATTTGGGTCATCGAGCAGTGACTCGAAAGGCCCAGAGTTGTAGGAAAAAGGATCTTCAAAAGTAGTAGAAAATGCGTCAGATATTTCGTACGAGGGTGTGAATGGTAATGAGGGCATTCCCATATGGACATCGTCCCTTCTCCTTGGCCGTTAGTACATGCACTCTTCTGTCCTTGGGGCTCCTCAGGATCAAACATACAACAACCCGTCCGCCTCGAAATTCAAATCGTGTTCGAAAGTATCCATGTTGAATTGATTACTCCTTGAGCCCGGAGCTGTTAATCGTAGAATGTTGTGAGGAGAAGTTGATGATGAAATGGTCAAAGTATCATACGCTGCCATATTCGCAATCTTATGATATGGGATTACTCAAGAGTAGCGCTTTGTACGAACAGGACGACAATGTTGTAAGCATTGTAAGATCGATACTCAGGTAGTTGAGAAGAATAACTTCAACTGTCTGAATCGCAAATGAACAATCATCAAGGATATTGACGGTTAAGTTCAGATGAGTTAAGTTAAGTTTAGTTGAGTTCGGGCAGGCGAGAAGCCGCAAACTTGGCTATCAGCCCAAGTAAGCGGGACACACTACTCCACAGTGCCGATAAGGACCCATAAGGGGAATAGAAAACCAAACTTTAACTGTTTAACTAAAAGCTACATATGCAAACTAGTAATTTATGACGATAACATCTCTAGAATTTCGAAATCTTCTTTCCTAATAAGAACGAACTCTAACTCTCAGAATGATTTTCCCATATCAAGGTCAACAGTATCTAGAGTCTTCAAGAAGTGTCGAATCTATATATCTGTCAAGTGTCTACTTCTTTATGCACACCCTTAGATGTGCGGCATATCCTTGCTAAATCCATGCCAAATATATGTCAAATCAATCAATATGTGATAACAGTACCGATACTATGTTGCCCCAGGCCCTGCGGAGTAGGTTCTAGCTTCCTCTTCCAAACCATTTCCAATCAGACCTAACGAGACATGCCAACTTGGAAGTTTGTACTTCTTTCCATTTGTGTTGTTCATTCTGTACTGATTTCATTTCAAAGCTATCCTACCGACGTTAATTTCGAGTCTACGATAACATCGGGTTCAATCGCTAAAGCTTCAATCTCCACCCTGTTGACATGGCTGACTTTGACAATTGGTAGCGAATGACAAGCAGAATGGGTCTTGATTGGTTCCGGAATCGTGGTCACAAGAGCTACCTTTCCCTAGGAATATGCTTGGTCTCCGGCATTTTTGGCTTTCTTTTACTAAATAATTGCTCTCACCAGATTCGATGTGATGGATACCATTTTGCATTTTGGAGGACTTAGAGGAGGAATAGTGAAGAACATCATAACTAGTCCTCCATTACGAAGTATGGGGATAGTCTAGTTGATCTCCACATCTCTACCATGTCCAAGTCAGGGTACCGTCAGACTTCTGGAGAGGTTCTAGCCCGCATGATCAGGGCAGAAACAATTAGTGGACTTCCGGGGAGCGCCAGTGTCTGCGACCCCAGTCAGTCAATATCTTGCGTCTCCCGTTTGATGCGCCGGCATTGTCAAACAAGGAAGCAATTTTTGGAAGATGGAAAAGCCATTTTTTACTTTTATTGTCCACAAGAATTCTTCAGCCTAGCACGCAACCTCCTGAATAACTCATTTGTTTGCCTTTTTCGGATTCTCAGAGCTACGCTTCTTTAGGATACGTCCGGCCAAAGACCCTAGGAGTTAAGAATTTGGAAGAGAACGCTATGAATCATGCACGAATCGTGAGCAATCATGTTGATTCGAGCATATACGTAATCTTCTTCTCATGCTCTAACCTTCTTACGGAGGGCAAGTGCGTCCTATTCTCCCACCCGCAGATAGGTTCCTTCTATTTCTATCCCAGCTATGTCATTACAGTTGCATTATCTAAATATATCTGAACAAATACAGTAAGATAGAATGCCTAGTGGTACACAGGCTCGAGACTGGCACGGTTAGAATGATCTCCTTGCAAAGGCGTATAATACCCTGTGCAATTGCGTTGAGAGAGAGAACGTCGCGTATCAGAGATACCTTGAACATTGAGGGATACCTAGGTAAAGTCTGCAGGTCTTCTTGCCTATACCATGACCACATGATTTCCCATTATTGAGTAATGGCATATTGCTCTACTAAACTAGTAGGGTTGAAGATTCGCTACTCAACCCGGATTGTTTTCAATCAAACGTTAAATCGACTATTATTCAGCTTAATTGGGGATTTCCTGCGATGCCTTGTCGCCAATTAATCTAATGGAGATTCGTGATATCATCAATTCCCCTTTGTTCTCGCTTATAGAATTCAATGAAAGAGGTACAAGGGCGCGTCTAGTGAATCGGTCAGAAGAAGACATCTTTAGGCACTCTAACCTACATTAAAAACGTGATACATCGATGAAAACACCTATAGCCCTTCACACCTTCGTACAAACTCATCGTCGACACGCTATTAGCATGTTGGTTCTCATTTCTCTAGACTAGACGCCATGTTCCCTTCCCCCCAAGTTGGAAGCCAGACTCATCCCCCTCCCTCCCTTCCTCCCTTCCTTCCTTCCCTCTCTTCCCTCTCTTCCCTCCGTGGACTCCAGCCACATGGACTAATAAATGGATACATATATACATATATACATACATAAATCCATATATACTTTTTAAATAATCGAGAGTTGTATTCTCCCCAAATCGTTACAAGAAGATATGAACGATGTTCCATGTCATATAGTGATTGTGGTTCTTTGAGATAGAATGGGATTATTTTCACCTCGCACTTCCCTATGCCTGTTCTGCCTTCCCATCCACTCTATACAGATGCTTCGAATAATTCATCACGAGTTCAAAGACACAGGTAAGAAATGAAGTGTAACATAGAAACGAATTGCTGTTTGATTCAATGCATATACATCGCATGTGGTGTCCAATCTATAATAAGCAAACACACCAGGATATCCTCGTAAAACCAAAACCAAATACACTTATGCAAATCCATCCATCTTATCTTCGTCTTCGCATTACCAAAATGTTCATGACTTCGTAAATAACCCCTACGCTCGCTCTTTTTAAACCCGCTTGCCTTAAAAAGAAATTCGTATCAATCCTGATACCTCTCATCCACAAATCTCGGATGAGGCAATATGTAACCGTCGTAACGTTCGCCTCTACTCTCCTCGCTACTACTAACACTCGTACTTGGGCTTACCAACCCACTGCTTTCTGCTAAACCCGTCATTTCCTCATCAATACCAGTGACTATTCTCCCATTGGTCCTACTTCCTGTCCCCTCGATTCCAAATCCAGTGCCCCCTCCAAGCCCCATGCCCATTCCTATGCTTCCAAATCCAGTGGGTAGACTTCCGCCTACAAATCCTAACGGGTTGCCAGACACTCTTCTTGGGCCCCCATTTGCCTCCATCCCTTCTCCTACACTCCCCACTCTACTCAAAGCTGGCTTCTCAGGTAACCCCTTTAATAAACCTGTACTCGTATCCAACATACCCATGGCCCATCTTGTCAGCTCACCTCCTTTACAGCTGACTCCTAACGTCCACCTGTATTCTCCCAACCTCCTTCTATACCACTCGGCCTCCTCTCTTCCTGGCGCTGTCGCCCACAACAACGATCCAAAAGTTCCTATTAGCGCAAAGTTCGTCTTACTTGCGAAGTACCAGAAGGACCTCAGATGACTAGTCGTGAGTCGGTTCACAAAATCCATGGCAGATATTAAGCGGGTTTTTGCTGCACTACGGCAGATGTGCTGGATGTAAGGATCTGGCTGGATAGGAGACGATTGCCCTTCGATTTTAATGTGGGCATGCGAGGAGTTCGGAGGAGGCGTCAAGGAACGGATGATGCGACGATGAAGGGTGATTTCAGTCGCAAAATACGCGAGATGCAGGAAGCCGGTGGAGGATAAGGATAATTTCGAAGAGGTGGGAGGAGCGTCCATACGAAGACAGGCAGGGAGTGCCGAATACCAATCTTTGAGTTTGAGCTGTACTGGCTTCGCGAGCTGAAGGACAAGTACTGTGCCTTGAGCTCCAGCATTAGCCACATTAGACATAGCGGATAGCGTGTAGAAGGTATCTAAAACTTCGGAGAGAATCAGAGAGAGGGCTATCATTTGACAGAAAAGTTGTCTGCCGCGATCGTGTTCAACACTTTGCTCATCATTAGTCTCATCATGTTCGACATCCGGAAAATCATTCTGGGATAAGGGAAGAACAGCCCAATTCGTAGCGAAAATATGGGACGGACGTCCATGCACTAACGATCCCCATTTATCTTGCATATACAATGCCCAGGCGAGACGTTTGCGGAGTCCTCGCTCCCATGGCGGGATTTTCCAATTCGAACAGTCGAGATGAAGACCTAATTCCTGGGAAATTGCTACGAGTTGTGCGGTTGGTGCCCATTGATCACCTTCTGGGGCTTGGGATAGGAGGAGTCCGGCTTGTACTGTTGATAGTTTGGGTCTGTTCATGGCATCCGACAATGTCACCCTTGCTAATCTTTCCAGTTCCTTAAGGTCAGGCCTAGGCAGATGTGCAAGTTCTTCACTGTGGTCCCACCAATTGATCGCAAGAATGTATACAGCAGCCAAAAGAGGCGGAGAAAATTCTCGGTAAGATCTGTTGTACTTCTCCCAAAATACATTCTTCTGAAGGATGGGAAAATTTGGATGAATGATACGGAAATATAAATCCAGCAGTATGGGACCGTGTGGCGCCACCAGATCTTCGATCGCATCCACATCTTCAATTTGATGTTCATGACCGGGAGTCGTATGATCCGGAAGCATTAAAAACGTATCAACATCGCTCACTTTTCTTAATGTTCCTCTTGATAACAAACTCTCATCCTGTGGATCAAATGGTGATAAATCAATGAGTGAGGGCTCGAAGTCTGTAGTTGGGCCAATGTATTGACTGAATCGATCATGCTGTAACCCCAAAGTTCGCTTTAACAACGTTGGGCCCCCAATATTTGCCAAATCCTCGGTCAGTGAATTGGTAGCACCGGTACTAGATATGCTAGCCTCGTGGGGTCTGGACCTTTCGAAATTCCTATCAGGAGATCTGCGAACCTGTCAGCCGTGATTTAAGAACACACAAATCATTAAACATTTTACATACCTTCTTTTTGCAATGGATTCTTCCTTCCCATCCGTATTCAATTTTCTCTTCCTAGGCTGCGGACTTGACAGAAAGGTGCAATCCTGAGAATGAAATTGACAAAGAACACACGTGAACTGCCCCTCATTGATCACACATCTACTCTTCCTCCTCCTACAAGCATCACACGGTCTATCCTTTCGACTTCTCATGTTATTTCCCAGATCCATCGATGCCACACTACTCATACTCGTTGACAAACTAGAGATATCTCTGCCGTTTGATGAATTGTTGGGAGTATCGAGAATTGTATCTAGATGAGGTTTCTTGGAAGCAATGGCAATTGGGGCAGTACGTGCTATAGAAGTTGAAGTCGACATGATAGCCACTGCGTTACAAGATTCTAGTGGAACAATCTCCGCCGAGATCGTCAACGACCAGGTTCCGTAAGTCTGTGTGAACCCGATGACCTGCTCTAGACCCTGGGGTTGGTACCGCCGATACTGCAGCTGCCAGGGAAGATGGATGAGAAACGGGATTTTTGGCGTAGTCCCCTGTTCTCGGAGAAGCGCGATGGGCGGCCGAGAATATGATAGCGTATAGGAACGGTCTAGCAATGCACAAAGCTACCTCAAAGGGGAAGTCCAGCAAGATAGAAGAAGATATGATACTCCAAAGATGTGAGTGGTTTGAAGGATGGATTATCAGATACGCTTATCGATGTGTATCTCCACTCTATTGCCTATCAAATATCTCTTGTATGCTTGAATCCCGTAATCCGGATATTCTTAAAAGAGCTTATCGGAGTTTGAAGTGGGAGAATTGTGGTGTCGTCTGCACTGCGAATCTGCAAGTTCCCGGTCTGTGTTGAACGGGTAGATAAGAAGAAAGCTTGGGTATGGTAAAACCAACCGCAAACAGAATATTTTTACTGATAATGGTAAATAATAAAAGCCTTTATTCACTCCAGAGTTTTCTTCTCCCTGTATGTCCGAAAGACTCAGGTTGGCCTGGAACTTAAAGAGAATTGTTAAAGTTGCTGACTAGATTCAGTGACTATCACTACTGCATGTGCCAGCTAGTGATTGAAGCAGGATAAGATGATGGATAGATTCCCACGTCATTGATGAGGAAAGGAATTCAATGGGAGCGTATTGGAAGTTTCAGAAACACTGAATGATATTGGTGAGAAGAACTTAATGAGAAGAAAGAGAAGGAGATTGGAAGCTTAGGAGATATGGAGAGATGGAGATGAAAGCTAGATCTGCATTTACTAGAAACAGTACTTTCGTAAGAGAAGCCCAGAATCCGGATGATATTGGCCGAAATGTTACCAAACTAGATGGTAATAATAAGAGTAACTGAGTAAGTGAGTAAGTTAAATGATTAGCAGGACAAATAGCTAGTCAATCCCGCGTTGTCAACACGTTCTCCCATGTTTTAAAGACGTAGCTTTGGCGTCCTTTTTTTTCATGCTGCAAGATAAGGCGAAGGGACCAATATAGGATCCGACCGATATCTCTATCAAACGGAAATAATTATTTTTACATTAATCTACTAATCCGTACCTCGCATCTGCATTGCCGGTACGATGGGCACATCCACATCCAACCCTAGAAGAGTTTGGGTAACGGTAAGCTACGTAGGTTCGGTAACTTTTTGATAAATTCGTCTAGTCTGCAACGTAGAGAACGTAGAGAACGTCGACAATGAGCATTTTCCTGGCTGTTGGCTAATATTTGGTCATCAATGTTGGAAAAGCTACACAGAGATTGGAAGCTTTCCGACTTCCCCTACTCGAGTAGACCTCGTTTGAGTCGGTTTGACTCTTTTCGATGCTCACGCTTTGATCAACTTAAAGTCCCATACATACTTAGAACATAGTTTTAATGACACCAGAATATGTATGAATATGCATCTTCAATGAGCTATCCACGTGGACGTAACCAATCAACATATCTTATACGTAATTTTTTGAAACGCAAAACCTTTCATTGGATACAAGCGAAGAATTACTTAAAACTTATGGAGTTTGTAACATCCCATACATCCCATCTATTTCTCAATCTATTTATCTATTTCGACATTTCAACCACTCAACGTACGGCATTTCCTTATCGTCTCTCAAACATCCTATCTCTTGGATCCTTGTTGCTGCAGCCCCCCTTTCGGCTACCCAAGTTATGATGCTATCCTGACTTTATACATATGCTAAGTTGCTCAGCCACTTAGCCAAGGTATAATCAAAGATATCTTTGCAGAGTATGGTATAGGTAATAGGTATAGCGGCAGCATGGGCTCCATACGTACATATCTATCCAGATCCAAGCAATGATGTTGATATCTAATGATCTAATCTAAACATGATCTACTAACCCCACAACACACGACCCCTCTAGTGCATGATTATTGCTAAAAGAAACCTCCCAAACCCTCCAAACCCCGGTAGCGATTGGTCATACATCAGTTAAACTTCCTTCCATCTTTCCAGCAGTTCCTACTCCATGCTAATTCAGCATATTGAATTGTCAACATGTGAGGAAATCTCTCAGGGCCCTTTTCGTGGGTGGTTAACTTGTTATGTAATTCCGAGATTGACGCACATCCGAATTGCACTTTGAAATTGTTTTTTGTCACACAATTCGGGTGGCTTGATTGTGAAGAAAGTGGGATTATGGGGGGTTGTGCGATATCCAGATTTGCAGTCATAACAACATGCGTGATCGGAGTATCTAAGAGAGTCCTGGAAAAAGTCAAACGCCGAATAATTATTGGGGATAAGGCGGTGAGATTCTACAAAGATTATGTTCTTTCGTTGCTGTTGCATTACTGCATGCTGACGGTACATATCAATCTCTTACCTCATTGATTGAAACCGAATGTCACTGACAGTCGATTTCGGAAATTGCGCGTGGGAGAAAATCGAAGTTTTCGTGGAGAAAGAGCGGTATGCTATGGTAGTGGTATTTTAGGTAAGAGTTAGGCATGCAAAAGCAAAGTTCAGTGGTGTATTACATGAAAGACGTGTAACATCACCAAGCTTCGTCGGCAGCGATGCTGCGTTGCTGGTGGCCATTACCGCTGCCCAACTGTGGATGAAGTACTTCCGAGCAGCTGGCTTATTGTACCGGAAACCTCCGGAACGCTTTCGAGGAGGAACTGTCAACGCGAAATTAAAAGGATCTCATTCGTTGCTCCATGCTCTCAGATATCAAGAATATCAAGAAAAGTCAACAGCGGGGCGACAAGTATTGTACCCCGCATTCGTGAATCACTCATGAACCACGATAAGCAGTCTCTTATCGTTCCACAAGCACCGCATTGGAACTTGACTCGGAGTCTTTAATAAAACGACATCGTGAGCATCGTAGATCCTTAAGGATCAAGATGAACAGCAAGAGTATTCCCGCTAAACAAGACGTGAGGCGACATTCCAAAGGCAACGGCCGAGGATTACTAAATCTTTCTACTACCTCTTTTCGACTCTGTCATTTATGCACGTCATATTGTACAACACTTAAAGCCAAGACCTATTGATCATATCACTTGCACCAAGAAGTTCTCGAAAAGCAATCTAGTCCTGCAAAACCTCTAGCGCGCAAGGCAGTATTACATGGCGGAACAATTTGAGGAATGGGCTTCAAGTAATTTTTCGGCTACCGGGTTGAAATCGTTCGATGTCTTCTGCGAGACGATCAATTGTAAAGTAAGTGCAAAAATCCCCAGGGGTTTGGGTATCCGCACATGTATATCGTGTAGGGGTTGCTCGTATCTTGAGGACAGTCGTGAGAACGATCTCAACTCTCTACCCTCCGAGTATATTGGGATTGTCTGACTATACTGGCCCTTTATTCCAATGTATAAAATACAGTTAAAGGTGAAAGAGATGTGAAGCAATGAAATTTAGAATATTTCAGAGGGGCGCTAGTGGCCGCTCCTGCCCCTTTTCGCCATTCTTCGCTTACTCTTTCATGGATGGGATCAATTGCATAATGACATCTCTCCAATCTTTTCATAGCAGTGTCCTTGACTTTGGGTACTTAGATTGATCTCTTCCGTATCTTATTGCTTACTGTGGTATTTTTGATTCTGTATTACGAGATGGTAAGTGAAATCAATACAAATCGATCAAATGGCGGCAAATTGAGCCCAACCAGGTCTGCATTACCTCACGCGACAATCTCAAATATTCATTCGACGTAGGGATTTCGAGGTGCCAGAAGCGAGCATATCAACAAATAATCGAGCAAAGGTCGGGAGAAATTTAGTATTAAAACGAGATTTCGAAAGTATTACCCAATTTCGTGAAGAAAAACTGTATATAACTATGGAAAATTAGGGAATCTGGGAACACCGAGGGTAGGGTGGTAATTAGAATTAATCTCTCTACAAGCTTTTTAAGTGCTTTTACAATATTTCTCAATACCGCAGCGATGGATCAATACCATCAGAATTTGTTGGTTGTGGAATCTGAACAGAACTATCAAAAAAACGTTTTGATGAAAATTTAGGTTGTGGAGAAGCAGGCTAGTGAAGGGATTGCGTTTGCCTCAGCTCTGATGTCTCTGAGATGAGGGAAACCAAGTCTGACTTTATTGCCTTCCGTTAAAGGGATTACAATAGTGTAGTTGGAACTTGAGCAGATGGTAAATGGGATAAATCAGATCTTTTATAAGTAAGATCTACGCTTGAGTATTGGTATCTGCATAGACGACCGTTTAGAGAAAAGCTTGATAATTCCTTATTCTGACTGATGTTACGGAGGTAAAATACAATTCTGGGGCAAATGATTCATAAATTCAATTCAGCCTTCAGGTATACAGTTACATATTGTTAATACCTTAGAGGAAAAAGCCTAGCCCATTTTGCAATTCAGGTTGCAGGGTTATGTTCACAGGCAGTTTTCAAAAGGTCCCGAGATTTCGATAGCTGAAATCTATGAAATTGTTCAAATCAACTCGTTTTTGATAGACCTAGACAATAACTAGTAAGCCACTAACATGATCCATTGTTGTAAATCTAACTAAAATAAAATTGGTATTATCTCTGGCCATCTCTTATCACTTAACTCCATATGTCGTCTATGACTCAAAGTTTTCACTTCTCTCTGCAACTGCTCTTGCTTCCACTTCTAACACCCTCCTCTCCTCCTCTGCTTTATCGTCGTGAGTCTGATGACCGGCAAAAATAGCCAGTAGCCCTAGATCATAGAAGGCTTTGAGAATTCCCGCGGAGACAAATACAACCCAGAAAAGATTTTGTCCAGCCAACACGCCTGTGATGACTGGGCCAAGACTTTGCGCAGATGTCTTAACAACATTCAGAAGTCCCATGACCGCAGTGCGTTCGTGTGAATGTACGACTGCGGCGATAAAGGCAGCACGCGGTACTCCATCCATAGATGATGTGGAGTGCCGGAGTATGAGAAAGGTTATCGCAAATGGAAGGCTAGAAGGTACGGGGATAAGAGCAAGAAAAATCGTTGATGGAAGATGAGTAAATGCCATTGTCTGTTGGAGGTACCGTGTTAGAAACAACTACATCATGAAAGGGACTGAAAGAGTACCTTGACATTTCCAAAACGCTTTGCTAAAGATGAGGCAACTAGCATTGAGCAAGCTGATATGATACTCGTGGTGAAGAAAAGAGAGCCCAATTTCCCTTCTTCAACACCAAACTTCTCATGGAAGAAATAAGTCACCCATGAGCTATGTTCCTCTAATTAGCTTAACGGAGCAAGTGTAGAATGGGATCAGGCTCACAGAGGTACAAGACCGGACGCAAAAGAATCAAGCCCCAGCAAGAGACAAAGATTCAACACAATGACTCTGCTCTCCTTACTTATATCAGGCAGCTTTGAGACAAGATAACCTTTCTTCGTAGCAACCACCTCTTCAGCTCCGTCGCCCAACAATGGAGCAATTTCCGGGTCCTCGACCGGTGAATATTTTCCCTCAATCTCCACTGCTTGACTGAGTCCTACTGAAAGTAGAAATTTAATGAATCCAAACAGCGCGTAGCTCCAAAATACAGCTCGATATGTAGAGATATCAGTCCAGCCACACTCAATCCGCAAGTAATTGATGACCCAGCCAGAAACAACAAATCCAAACGCCTGGCCCGCTGTTCCTATCAACGAATACCACGCATATATGTCGCTTCGATTTGATGCGGGTGTAAGTTGCGCAAGAGTGGATTCTTCGATTGCTCTGAAAGGACCTATTTCATTTCCACTTTGAACGTGATATCAGCAGCTCTGAACGGCAACAAATTAGGCTGTATCATACCTAGGACTAATAACCCCCAAAATGGCAGCAGCAAGTAGACCCCAGTAGTTCTCACAAATCGCAAAAACAATACCGCTCCCCATCATTAACCCTGAGCCCACCGCCAATATAGATTTCCTTCCTAGCGCATCTGCGAATAGTGTAAGAACAAAGCTAATCAATGTATCACCAACCAATGTTAAGGTCATGAAGACCCCTATCTTCGTCTTGGAGATTTGAAGTATAGACAGATATTCAACGAGAATGAGGGTAGCTGTGGCATATGCGAACATTCGGGTGAAGCGTTGAAGGCATAGAAGCTTTGTATCGAGGGGTGATTTGTAGAGAGTGATAAGGCCCATCTCGGCGATAAAACGATGGAAGTATCTCAAAACCATTGTGAATTACCTTACTTGTGCCAGTCGTGACAAAGGTCTGGAGGTGAGCTTGAGCTTTTGAGCTTGAGATTCCGGATCTTCGGACTGTGGAAGAGTCAACGTGAAACTTCATATATCTAAATTCTGACTGCAGATCGAAGAATACGAGAAGAAGCAACAACAAATGATAATGGCAATGGAAATGAAAATAGAAGTGAAGAGAGAATCTAAATGTCTCCAATACTCAGCTTGGGGTACAACAGAATTTCAAACGAAACGAACCTATCTATACCTATTAAGGAACGGGATGGGGAATAATTTTCTCTCCCCAATTTGAGACTGAAGCCTGAAATCAAGAGTTGTTAGGGGTCCATCATTGATAGCGATATCGACATTCTAGCACCATCGTCTGATAAGGTTAAGATTGACAACCGCGATGCAGGTTCATCCACAGCCGGTGAACAATTCTTTCCGGATAATATAGGTACACATTGACAGATATGACAACACCTCGTCAATTGAGGTTAACCCACAGCATCATGGAAAAAGGCAAGGCGGATTTCCAACGAGCTACTCGTCGTGCGGAAAAAATAAATCACGGTTTGTAAATCACGATGATAGGGGCCTTGCTTCCAAATTCCCAACAGAAAGAATGGCGTAGCTTTGATATGGCCATTTTATTCTACAAGCGTAGATTCAAGGGAGTCCTTGGCCTTGGGCATATTATCAATTTATCAGTCACCTTCCAGTAAGGGGCGATTCTCTTTGTGAGACATAGTCCAATGCGGAAACTGCATGCCGAAGATATCTTTGTTGTGAAAATTGATATCTTCATTTGATCTCATGTCAAAACCTGCAATATTTTCAGGCTTCTATCATCATCATGGCATCAAAAAAAGATAAAAATATTATTAGTCCCGAGAGAGTGAGATTACCCCGGGCAGCAAAAGACAAACCGAAGGCATCACCTGAGCTTATTCCAAAGACTACGCTCCAAATAATCAAGAGAATTCCAGGTCGTTCAAAGGAATTCGTTCCCGAAAAGATATCTACTCCAGAAGCGAGTTCGGCTCGCAGGGTGAAAGGAAAAGGACGAGCGGTAACTACGGTAGAGCCCTCGAGATCTCGTCCCAATGATGAGATAATACGTCAAGAAGCAACCTATCCGAATCCATTCTCCACAGAAAGCTCTCGTAAGAATACCGCAGCTTTGCTTTCTCAATGGGATTCCACCAAGTCACCAGCTTTTAATTCACCACATCCGGGAAATGGCTTGGTTAATGGAACTCCAAAGTCTAAGTCGCCAAGATCTGCGAGATCCAAGCATGATAGATCATGCTCGATATTGGATAAAGGGCATATTACAATTCCCCCACCATCTTCGAAAGACAGAGGAGAGCAAACCTCCCAGCTGTTCGATGCCAACAAACAACGACGTTTGAACTCCTTGGCGGAGGGAAACTTTCCCGATCCGACTTACCCACGGGCGAGTATATCCGATGGAACAGAACCTTCTCCGGGGTTCAATGCCGCTATGGGGTTTAGATACTCTCCAGGATTTGGAGGACCACATGGCTTCAACACGAGTCCAAGAAAACAGTCTGTTTTTAATCTGGCGCGAAATAGTTCTGCAACACCAGGAACTGGAGTTCTATCATCCTCAGGGACTATCAAACCAGCAGATCAAACCAACCACGGTGGTGTTGCTGATGCTGGCCGCAGCCTTCGTGCCGATGGAGAGGGACTTAGTATTTCATCATCTGAGAAAGTATCTACAGTTCCAGCTGGAGGGTTCCAGCAATATTCCTCAGGTTTTAGTCCACAATATCCTCAGAATATCACACAGTATTCCGACTCTACTTCAACAAACTGGCCCTATTCAATGGATTGGAATCAAAGCAGGCTTTCAGGGCAGGTAAACACAGCACCCCAATCATTAGGATCGTACGGACCGTGGTTCAGACCTGAACATCCAGAATCCGAAAAGAAAGACTGGTATGCTGATTGGATGGCGTCGCAGCAAAACTTTCCTTCGATACCAGGCTACCTTTCAAACCCGATGATAGGTTACTACCCAATGCAAGATCTCGAACCTGCTCCTGCAAACATTCCATACCAGGCAGCTCTCGGGCTGGATCAGGCTGCTCAGGATGCCACAGTGATTGACGATCCAGAACCCCAGGGTATCAGAGAAAGTAGAATGACACGGGAGAAAACCATGCTTGTACCAGGCGGAAAAATAGTCAAAACAACGACAACAGTATTCACGCCCACTGACGAAGAGAAAAATAAAAGGGGCAAAAATGTTGAACAGAACGTAGAAGACAAAGTCGGTATAGTCGTAGTAGACAAAGAGGGTAACGTTGATGTCGAGTCTGGAGATTGGCTAGCGGGGTTCAACAGAATCGAAGGATGGGAGGTCGAAGCTTTACTCGGACAAAGTAAAAGGTGGCGATCTTATAGGAATCGAAATGGAGTCACAAAGAAAGTCATTACGAAAAAAGCTAATCATAAAAAGCCTACAACCTCGAAGAAAGCTGTTGTTCCGTTACAGCAACCAGTCTTACCCCAGCTGCATCCAAATCCGCCCCAATTCACACAATTAGCGTCTACCAAGTTTGGAACTCTCAATAACTCTACATCTAACCCAACGTCACCCTCTATAAACTTCATCCCCTTTGATCTCCCGCGACTTACCAACACAAGGTCCACCAGATCACGAGCCACACGTATATCAAAGCCAAAGCCTCAGCTTGTCAAAAAGGCAGCCGCAAAGAAAGCCGCCCCAAAAGGTAAATCCAAAACACCAACACCAACACCAACGCCTAAGCCCAAAGCCTCTGCCAGCAAAGCCACCAGACCAGCCTCAACTCCAGCTCGTAGCCTTCGTTCAACTAACTCATCTTCCAAAGCAAAACCCTCTGAGGCTAGATCTGGTCCCAAGCCCAGTCCCTCCAAATCCAAATCCTCATCAGCAAAAGAATCCACTAAAGCTAAAGCTGCAGGCAAACAAGTCGCCGAGAAGCAGAAGAAAACGCAAAATGTTATTAACCGGGGTAAGTCTCCCAATTTGGCAGGGGATTCTATCCGCCATGGCGCCAAATTTGACAATGGTTTTACGCGCGACACTACAGAGCTGCAGAAGGAAGTCCAACGTGATCAAGCTCTCGCCAGTCAAGCCGCTGAAAACCTAGAGCGATTCCGTGGCAAAGGCGCTGAGCAAGCTTCCCAGCATTTTGAGAAGCTCATAGAGAATGTTGAGAAAGGGCGCAAGGAACTGGAAAGGCGTAATAGGAAACCTAAATCGTGAAGGAATCATTTAGAGATATGGAACTTGAGAGATTGCACAGACAGTCATGTGGAACGATCTGTGGAAATCTTTGGCCGTTAGCTACTATGCACCATATTTTATGTTGGGAGCATTTGTTCTTTGTATTTTTAGAAAAGTTTGGTAAAGGTTATCGTATAAGTCCTTTTCTTAATGATAAAGTATGTGTGTGTACAATTATTTCATCTCAAGCTTTGTTTCAACCTTCCTGTCTTTCTTGATCCAAGTACATTTCTCTTGAAGCCAAAAGATTTGCTCCGCTTCTTCACTCCTTGTTTTCAAGTCCACATGTGTAAGCTCGATGTAAATACTTGAATTGCTTGAATTGATTTAAGGATGCAGCTATGTGTGTATATTACGCATCTAACCTCCAGATCTTTCTGCGTCAGGGAAGTTGAGCACTCCTCTCTAAGATTCAGGTTTACTCGACAGATACTGATTATGTGTAGAGAGTTCAGATGTTCCTCCGGCTTTTACAATAGAACAAATACATATTATTAAAGCCAAAATTAGCGTCAGAATTATTACCCGATACGCTTGCGAAAATCAAAAAATGCGAAATAGAATTGAGAGGGTTCCGCTGAACCATAATGCACAAAGAGCGCAACTTTTAGATAGCAAAAAGAGCCTTCGAGACTATTGCTATAAAAAAAATCAAATCAACAAGCTATGTAGAATGATGAACGAAGACCAAACGCCTAGAACATAGAGCCAGAGAAGACCTCATCTAAAGGCTTTTTTCCAAAGCAACCAACTCTCGAAATCCTTCTTTCCACTTCGTCATCTCATCACTAGTGGGATGTGGTAACGGTGCGCGACCATATCCTCCATAGCCCAACCAACTCTCCATACCAGCCTTAGTGCTCACAATACCTCCCTGGATAGCGGCCCAATCACCTTGAGCAACGACTTCCTGAAGTTTTTGGGCTTCCTTGATTTTTCCTTCGTGGTATAATTTAGTCATTTCGATGCAGGTCTTCGGAGCAATATTTGCTAACCCCGCGAGGATCCCATGACCACCCCCAATCAGACTTTGTAGGGTGAAATCAGCACTGCCTCCAAGAACCAAGAATGGTGGAGATGCGGGGGAGCGTGGCTTGGAAGTCCTTGTGGCTGCCACGATTCGATTCAATTTACCAGTATTGCCACAGGTCAGCTTCACACCCACGATGTTAGGATGAGCTGATAATTTGATGATAACATCTGAGGAGAGATCCATGCCGGATACAGCTCCCGGATAATTGTAAATTAGTAAGGGAATAGGAGATTGGTCTGCTACAGTTGTGAAGAATTCGAGTACGGAAGCAGAGGAAGGCAAAAATAGAAGTGCATAATACGAAGGCGGTAGAATAAGTGCGTAATCTCCCCCAGCCGCGAAGGCTTCTCGGCAATATTGTACCGTTTCTCGGACAGATTGTGCGCCACAACCGACAATGATAGGAAGATGTAGGAACCCAGCCGACGAGAGTGCGGCACGAGTTGTTGCCGTAACAGTCTGACGTTCTGCGTGGGTGAGATTGACAGCTTCGCCGTTGGAGCCTTGAGTGGCTAGGCCATTGACTCCAGCTTTTGCGAGACGAATCGCATGACTAGAGATAGTTTTCGTATCGAGTTCTTCCGTGATCGGGTCGAAGAAGCAAACAGTGGGAACGTAAATGCCAGGAACTAGAGGACGAGCCATGTGATAGTCGGC